CCTTCACATGTGGTTTATGAATCGATGTCCAGTTTGTATTCGAGACATCCAGATTTTTTGAAAAATTATAGGATTTTGATTTTTCAGTTCCTCGGTTTTCCGATTTCTTTAATTTTCAATATTTCGATTCTACGATATTTTGTTTTTTCGATTTTGCACTTTTTCAACTTTTATTAAGTTTGTCAATTTTAAATCTTTCGATTTTTCAATTGTTCTTTCCTTCAGTTTTCAAGTTCTTATACTTTTTTGTTTTTCCATTTTGTATTTTTCAGTTGTACAATTTTTCATTTTTTTGATTCGAAAAGTTGTGAAATCGAAACATTGAAAAACTAAAAATCGAGAAAATCAAAAATCGAAAAAAATCATTGAAAATGAGAAAGAAGAAAAACCGATTCAAATCGAAAAGTTATGAAATCGTCAAAATTGTAAAGTCGAAAAACTAACAATTTAAAAAACAAAGAATTATAAAATCGTAACACTGAAAAATTGAGAAAAAAATTAAATTATAATTATAACCTCACATTTAAAATGAAAACTAGAAAAATTGCAAATAAAACTTTGAAAAAACAAAAACTTAAAAAATCGAGGAACTGAAAAATCAGAAATTGAAAAACTAAAAAAATAAAGAAAAAAACCGAAACGAAAAATTGAAAAAATGAAAAAAGCCTGAAATTGAAAAATCTAAACTGCAGAAGTCGAAAAATTGAAAATGGAAAAACTCAAACGAAAAAGTAAAAAATCGAATACTCGAGAAATCGAAAAATTCAAAAATCGAAAAATCGTGAAACCGAAAATTAAGAAATCGACAAGTTAAAAATTGAAAAATTAAAAAACCAGTGTCGCAGCTTCGAAAAGTCGAAAAAATAAAAAATCGAATAACTCTGTTGAAAAAGTCTAAAAATCGAAAAAACGAAAATTCAAAATAAAGAAATTCAAAAATCGAAAAATTGGTAAATTAAAAAATCGAGAAAACGAAAGATCGAAAAATGGAAAAATCGAAAAATTCAAGAACGGCAAAATTGAAAAATCGGAAAACTCCAGAAATCAAAAAGTCCAAAATCGAAAAATTAAAAAAAAACTCTAAAAATCGAGACACCGAAAATTCAAAAAATCAAAATTCAAAAATTCCAGAAATTGAAAAACCAAGAATGAAAAAATTGAAAACTCAAAAATCGAGAATTGAAAATTAAAAAAAAGATGAAAAAATGAGAATTAAAAATCGGGAAATTGAAAAATCGAAAAAGTGAAAGATCGAAAAGGAGAAAAATTATCAAACCGAAAATTTAAAAAATCAAAAAATCGATAAATGGAGAAATTGAAAATGGAAAAATTGAAGAATTGAAAATTTAAACATCGAAAAGCCGAAAAATTGAAAATCGGAAAACTCACTCGAAAAAGTGAACACGTAAAAATCGAAAAATTCAAGAAAATAGTGTAAGAATCGAGAAACCGAAAATTCAAAAAATAAAACAATCGAAAAATCCAGAAATTGAAAAATTGAAAAACGAGGAAATAAAAAAAACGAAAACTGAAAAAATCGAAAAATCAGTCAAAAATCAAGAATTGGAAAAATAAAAAAAAAATTGAGTATCAAAAATCGGGATATCAAAAAACAGAAAAACTTAATCGAACAAGTGAAAAATCGAAAACTCGAGATATCGGAAAAGTGGAAAAATCATTGAACCGAAAATTCAAAAAAAAAAAACGAAAAGTCGGTAAATGGTGAAATTGAAAAATCCAAAAATTGGAGAATCGGAAAATTAAAACATTGAAAAAAGGAGAAATCAAAAGATCAAACAATCAAAAATCGGAAAAGAAAAACTACAGAAATCGAAGTCGAAAATCTAAAAAACATTGTGAAATTGAAAAATTTAAAGATCGAAAAGCAGAAAAATTGAAATTCGGAAAACTCACTCGAAAAAGTAAACACGTAAAAATCGGGAAATTGAAGAAAGAAGTGTAAAAATCGAGAAACCGAAAAATCAAAAAATAAAAAAAACGAAAAATCCAGAAATTGAAAAATCGAAAAACCAGGAAATAAAAAAAAATGAGAACTAAAAAAATCGAAAAATCAAAGTCAAAAATCGAGAATTGTAAAAATAAAAAAAAAATAAAATTGAGTACCTATTAAAAATCGGGAAATCCAAAAATCGAAAAACTTAATCGAACAAGTGAAAAATCGAAAACTCGAGATATCGTAAAAAGTGGAAAAATCATTAAACCGAAAATTAAAAAAAACGAAAAGTCGATAAATGGAGAAATTGAAAAATCCAAAAATTGGAGAATCGAAAAATTAAAACATTGAAAAAAGGAGAAATCAAGAGATCAAACAATCAAAAAATCGAAAAATTAAAGAATGGAAAAATTGAAAAATCAAAAAATCGAAAAACACTCGAAAAAGAAAAACTCCAGAAATCGAAGTCGAAAATCAAAAAATTCGAGAACAAATTTTAAAAATCGGGAAATTGAAAATTCGAAAAATGAAGGAATCAAAATATCGAAAAATCAAAACTCGTGAAGTCGAAACATTGTGCAATTGAAAAATTTAAAGATCGAAAAGCCGAAAAATTGAAAATCTGAAAACTCGCTCGAAAAAGTGTACACGTAAAAATTGAAAAATTCAAGAAAAAAGTGTAAGAATCGAGAAACCGAAAATTCAAAAAATAAAAAAATCGAAAAATCCAGAAATTGAAAAATTGAAAAACTAGGAAATAAAAAAAATGAGAACTGAAAAAATCGAAAAATCAGAAAGTCAAAAATCGAGAATTGGAAAAATAAAAAAATAAAAATTGAGTAGGTATTAAAAATCGGGAAATCGAAAAATCGAAAAACTTAATGGAACAAGTGAAAAATCGAGATATCGGAAAAGATATCGGAAAAGTGGAAAAATCATTAAAACGAAAATTCAAAAAAAAAAATCGAAAAGTCGATAAATAGAGAAACTGAAAAATCCAAAAATTGAAGAATCGAAAAATTAAAACATTGAAAAAAGGAGAAATCAAAAAATCGAAAAACACTCGAAAAAGGAAAACTCCAGAAATCGAAGTCGAAAATCGAAAAATTCGAGAACAAATTTTAAAAATCGGGAAATTGAAAATTCGAAAAATGAAGGAATCAAAATATCGAAAAATCAAAACTCGTGAAATCGAAAAATTGAAAATCGGAAAACTCACTCGAAAAAGTAAACACGTAAAACTCGAAAAGTTCAAGAAAAAAATGTAAAAATCGAGAAACCGAAAATTCAAAAAGTAAAAAAATCGAAAAATCCAGAAATTGAATAATTGAAAAACCAGGAAATTAAAAAAATGAGAACTGAAAAAATCCAAAAATCAGAAAGTCAAAAATCGAGAATTGCAAAATAAAAAAAAATGAAAATTGAGCATTAAAAATCGGGAAATCGAAAAATCGAAAAACTTAATCAAACAAGTGAAAAATCGAAAACTCGAGATATCGGAAAAGTGGAAATCATTAAACCGACAATTAAAAAAAAAATCGAAAAAGTCGATAATTAGAGAAATTGAAAAATCCAAAAATTGAAAAATCAAAAAATTAAAACATTAAAACAAGGAGAAGTCAAAAGATCAAACAATCAAAAATCGAAAAAGAAAAACTCCAGAAATCGAAGTCGAAAATCGGAAAATTCGAGAACAAATTTTAAAAATCGGGAAATTGAAAATTCGAAAAATGAAACAATCAAAATATCGAAAAATCAAAACTCGTGAATTGGAAAAATCAAAAAAATGGAAAATTCGAAAAACTGAAGAACGCAAAAATTTAAAAATCGAGAAATCGACAAGTTGAAAAACTGAACAATCGAAAAATTGAAAAATTAAGAAACTAAATACATGATGTAAAGTTTGAAGACACGAATAGTGGAAAAATCGAGAAATCAAAAAATTTGGGAAAAGTCCAAAAATCGGGATATTGAAACATCAAAAAATCAAGAAATCTAAAAGTCAAAAAATCCTAAAATCGAAAATTGAAAAGTGGAAAAATCGGGAAATCGAATAGAATAGAATAGAAAAACTGAAAAATCGATAAGTGGAACATTTTTAAAATTGAAAAATCGAATAATTAAGAAATCGAAAAGTCCAAAAATCCAAAAATCTAAGAGTCGAAAAATAGAAGAACTGAAAAATCGAAAAGTCGAAAATTTTAAAAATCGTACGATTGAACAATCGAAAAATCGAAAAGCCGAAAATTTGAAAAATGGAAAACTGAAAAATTATACAATCGAAAAATTTTTAAAATCTGGGAATCCAAAAATCGAGAAATCGAAAAACTGAAACTGTGAAATCTCGAAAATTCAAGAAACTAAAGACTTGATCGAAAGTCTGAAGAAACGAATTGTGGAAAAATCGAGAAATAAAAAAATTGGAAAAGTCCAAAAAACGAAAAATTGAAACATCGATAAATCGAGAAATTGGGAAGTCAAAAATTCTAAAAGTGGATAATTGAAAAGTGAAAAAACTTAAAAATCGGGAAATCGAAATCAGAAAATTTTAAAAATCGAAAAATCGAACAACTGAAGAAACGTAAACTCGAAAATTTGAAAAATCGTAAAATTAAAAAGTAGAAAAGTTAAAAATTTGAAAAATCGAAAAATCGAGAAATTGAAAAGATTAAAAATTGAAATATAGAAAATCGGAGTAATTGTGAAATCGAAGCATTAAAAATTCAAGAAATCGAAATATCAAAAAGTCGAATTGAAAAATCGAGTCATCCAAAAATCAAAAAAGCGAGAAATCCAAAACTCAAAAAATAAAAAACGAAAATCTTCCGTGTGATTCAAAATCTTTGTCTTCAACAGATTTCCAAAATTCCATATGGAAAATTCTCCTCCTCTTCATTTATTAGCTTCAAGAGGTCTTCTTAGTATTTTTTCAAATGCAATTTATTTCCGAAAATATAGTATAAAAAGTACATAAAACAACCATTTTCGGTTTCTATCCATTACACATTTAAATACTATAAACTTACCATCTATCTTTCTTTTCCAGGAATGCTACCAAGACCTCCAACGCCTCTCCCCCACCGCCCCACCCGACAAACTCCAAAAACTCCTCTCCTGCGCCTTCGCCATCTCCACCAAAGAAAGCGCCTCCCTCGGCCTGCCCGACTTCCCCCTAGACACCCTCCCCCACGCCGCAAAGCTCCTGCAAAACCACCCCGACCTGTCCCCCTACGACGTCTTCACCCGCCTCTACCCCTACAAAGTCTTCCTCAAAGACCAAACCTCCCACCTCGAGTCCCTCCTATCCACCTTCCACGTCCAACCAGAACCCCCGAAACCATCTCCCCCCACCAAACCCACATCCACAACCTACATAGCAACAGACTACCAAAACCGCCTCATCGCCGCCATGCTACAAACCGAATCCGTCGGGGATTTCTGCCTCGTGGGTCCAAAGGGGTGCGGCAAGAGCATCCTAGTACAACAAGTAGCCGAAATTCTGGGGAAAGCCACCGAAAATATAGTGTTGTACCAGGACATGACGGCGCGCGATTTGGTGCAGCAGAGGACGACGCTGGACAACGGTGACACTGTGTGGCAGTTATCCCCGTTGGTGCTGGCGGCTTTGGAAGGGAAAATCGCCGTTCTGGACGGAATTAACCGGATCCATCCGAGTACATTGTCGGTTTTACACAGGTAATAGTTATAGTACCAAAGGTACCACAACACTGTAACGCAATTCCAGACTAGTCCAAGACCGGGAATTGCAGCTGCACGACGGAAAACGACTGATGAGTGACGAACGGTACCAAAGCATCAAACAGTCGTTTGATTTGACGGACCACCAAATGACGGAAAGTGGTATTCTACCCATACACCCCGACTTTCGGATAATCGCGATCGGGGAACCACCTTCCTTGAACTCACCCACCGGGAATTGGATGACCCCGGAACTCCTCAGTCTTTTTCTTTTCCACGAAGTCAGAACTCTGAGTAAAGAGGAGGAACTTCACATCATTGCGTCTAAAGTGAGTGGTACCCTTTGCATCCGCACTATTAATCGATTGTGTTTTAGTATGGACCACCCTCCAAGTCGTTGCTCAAAATCGTAGAGCTAGCCCACATTTTGAGGAATAGTACCGACCAAACCCTCCAGAGTCTGTCCGGGCACCTCTCCACCCGACAACTTCTGCGAATCGGGGCTAGAATGAAGAACTACCCTTCGAATTTTGTCTACGATACGATCCGAACGACTTTTATGGTACAGTTTCTTCCAACCCTGGCACGACAAGCTTTGGAGCGTACCATACACCGACTCGGGGTTGTTGCAGAGGAAAGTTCGGACGACACAGCCCCCATTGCTTGTGGAATTAAAAACGATATTCTGACTATTGGTCAATCCTCGGTTCCTCTATATCAAACCACACACCTAACCAAAGTCCCTAACATCCTCTTCTACAACATTCCGCAGCACCTACACCTGATGGAAGCGATGCTTCAGGATTTCCACCTCGGGCACCATATTTTGCTCGTCGGGAACCAAGGTGTTGGAAAAAACAAAATCATTGATCGTTTCCTAGAACTGATGAACAGACCTAGGGAATACATCCAGCTGCATAGAGACACGACTGTGCAGACGTTAACCACACAACCTACCGTTCGTGATGGTCTTCTAGTCCACGAGGACTCGCCTCTGGTGAACGCCATCAAACACGGTCACGTCTTGGTGGTAGATGAAGCAGACAAAGCCCCAACTCATGTAACTTGCATCCTGAAGACTCTAGTAGAGTCGGGTCAGATGATCCTCAGTGACGGTAGACGAATCGTGCCTTTAGTACCTCCAAATGGTCACCCGTCCAACTACATCCAGATCCATCCCGATTTTAGGATCGTGGTACTAGCAAACAGACCCGGATTCCCGTTTTTGGGGAACGATTTCTTTGGCGCTTTGGGCGACTTGTTTAGTGCCCATGCGGTAGAAAATCCGTCTGCGGATTCAGAAATCAGTCTTTTGGGACAATATGGACCTAATGTACCCCTTGACACTATAAAAAAGTTAGTGGGGGTGTTTGGCGAGTTGCGCAATATGGCGGATCAAGGGTTGGTTAGCTACCCCTACTCGACTCGCGAGGTTGTTAATATAGTCAAACACTTGGAACAATTCCCGGGGGCTGATTTAGAAGATGTGGTCTTCAACGTGTTTGATTTTGACCGGTACAGTCCTGAGGTGGTTGAAACTTTGGGGGAAGTTCTCCAAAAGCACGGTTTTTCGAGTAAGAACGTCATGGCGGCTGAGTATATGGCGGCTAAACGGGCTAGGGAGAAGATTCAGGTGACTAAGAGTAGGTATAGTGGGAAAGATGCTCAAGAACCGAAGCATGGTAAAGAGGATCCAGATAATGCCCCCCACGTTGGTGGTAACACATGGGCTGGGGGTACCGGCGGTCGCGACACAGCTGGTATGGGTGGTAAAGGTGGTCCTTATAGGTTAGACAAAGGGCACGAAGTCCACCAACTATCAGAGGAAGAAATTAACGCCGTCCCTGAACATATACAGCGTGCGGCTCGCGAAATGAACCGAAAAGCCTTCCAAGAAAAATTAAAAGAAATCGGGATGAGTGCCTACGACGCTACTCTATACAACCAGTTTTATAACGCTGTGTCCAGACAAATTCAGTCATTAAGGATCATTCTAGGGAATTTACAAGCTAAGAATAAAGAGAGACACTGGTCACGTCACCAAACCGCTGGAGAACTAGATGACGTCAAACTAATCGACGGTCTACTAGGAGAGAAAACTATTTTTCGAAGACGAGCCGAACAAGAACCCGAAATCGGCGCCCCACAACTCAAACCCAAACTATTCCGAGTGGTTGTAGATGTCTCTGGAAGCATGTACAGGTACGCGTCGCCATCTTAGCCGCCATTTTGTGTAACTTTGTTATGTGTCAGATTCAACGGATATGACGGTCGCTTGGATAAAGAACTAGAAGCCGCCGTTTTAGTAATGGAATCCTTCCAAGGCTTCGAAGACAAAATCCAGTACGATATTATTGGCCACTCGGGAGAAGCGCCGTTTATTCCATTCGTCAAACTCAAAGAGCACCCCAAAAACAATAAGGAACGACTGGACGTGATCAGAGTGAGCTAACTTAACTCGTGTGTGGCCTACTTTGACCCTACTTTTTAGACGATGCACGCGCATGCGCAGTATTGTTGGTCCGGCGACCACACGCTAGAGGGCACTGAAGAAGCTATCAATTCTCTAGCGGAAGAAGATTGTGACGAGGCCATCGTGATCGTGTTGTCGGATGCCAATTTGGAACGATATAGGATACCTCCGTCGAAATTGGCGGCTGCGCTGACGTCAAAGTCCAATGTTAGTGCCTATGTTATTTTTATAGGTGGTTTGGGGGATCAGGCGGAGAGGTGAGTCGTGATTTGGGGTTTTTTGGTTTGATTGGTTTGTTTGTAGGTTGACTGAGAGGTTGCCGGCTGGACGGGCTTTTATATGTAGTGACGTCACTCAGTTGCCGCAGATTCTCAAGCAGATTTTTTCGTCGTCGGTTATTACCATATGAGGGTAATTTCTAGGGAATAAAACAATGTATAGTAAATAAAATTTTGTACAACTACTATAGTGACGTTGCAGTACGTTAAAAACTGAACTTCCCTCGCTCCTGAAGTGTAGTCCAACAAATCCCGCTTTTTTGAAAAATTCTAGAGTCGAAATATTGAAATTCTGAAAAATCCAGCTATTGAAAAATTCCTAAAATGCTAAAAAATTGAGAAATCGAGGACTTGAACATCGGAAAAATCAGAAAGTCGAAAAATTTTTAAAATTGAAAAATTGGAATATTAAAAATGTAGCAAACGAAACATCAAAAAATCGTAAATTCAAAAAAGTCGAAAAATTAAGAAATCGAAAAGTCAAGAAGTCGATTAATAGAGTAACTGAGAAATGCAGAAATTGATAAATTGGAAAAAAAAGAAAATTGGTAGAATTAAAAAATAAAAAAAATTGAAAATCGAAAGACCGAAAAGTCAAAAATTCGTAAAATATAAAACTAAAACCGAGATATCGAAATAGCTCAAACTCAAAAAATTGAATAATTTCGGAACATCAAAAAACCATAATCAAAAACGGAAAATCTAAAACTGGAAAAATAAAACAACATCCATCGGAAATCGAGAAATGGAAAAATTAAGAAATCGATTATCCCAAAATCGAAAAATTGAATCTGGAAAATCTAAAATGTAAAAAATCGAAGCATCAAAATCTCGGTAAATCGTAAAACCGAAAAAACTCGAGAAAACGAAACAATGAAAGTTCGAGAAACGGAAAAATCGAAAAGTCGAAAAATTGAGAAAAACGAATCAAAAAATCGAAAAAGAGAAAACTAAAACGGAGAAATCGAAATAACCCAAGTTCGAGAAATTCTAAATGCAAAAAAATCAAAAAAATTAAAAACCGAAAAACCTGGTAATCGATCAAAAAACTGTATAATCAAAAACGGAAAAATCTAAAACTGGATAATTAAAAAAATTGAAAAATCATAAATCGAAAGAATGAAAAATAAAAAAAATAGACAAACCGAGAAATCGAAAATCAAGGAATGGAAAAATTGACGAATTAAATCATCGAAAAATCGAAACATCAAAATTACGAGAAGTCGGTTAAATTAAATTCTGGAAAATCTAAAATTTAAAACGAAACATTGAAAAAAAACGAAAAAATCGAAAAGTCAAAAAATCGAAAAATCCAAAAAGGGAAAACTAAAACCGAGAAATCGAAAAGTCAAAAAGTCGATTAATAGAGAAACTGAGAAATGCAGAAATTGAAAAAAAAAACGAAAAATGGAAGAATTAAAAAAAAATTAAAATCTGAAAACTAAATACAAAAAATCAAAAAATTTAAAAACCGAAAAATCTGGTAATCGGAACGTCAAAAATCGCAAAATCCAAAAAGAGAAAACTAAAACTGAGAAATCGAAAAGTCAAAAAGTCGATTAATAGAGAAACTGAGAAATGCAGAAATTGATAAATTGGAAAAAACGAAAAATGGAAGAATTAAAAAAAATAAAAATCTGAAAACTTTTAATACAAAAAAATCAAAAAATTTAAAAACCGAAAAATCTGGTAATGGCAACGTCAAAAATCGAAAAATAGAAAATTTAAATCATCGAAAAATTAAAAGATCGAAAAAATAAAAAAATCGACAAACCGAGAAATCGAAAATCGAGAAATGGAAAATTTGAAAACCGAAAACTCGAAAAAACTTGATAAAACGAAAAATCGAAAAACTCGATAAAACGAAACATTAAAAATTCGAGAAACGGAAAAATCGAAAAGTCCAAAACTCGATTAACAGAAAAACTCAGAAATGCAGAAACTGATAAATTAGAAAGAAAACCAAAAATGAAAGTTGAAAATCGAGAAATCAAAAAGTCAAAAATTCGTAAAATAGAAAAAGAGAAAACTAAAACCGACAAATCGAAAGAGCCCAAAATCGAAAAATTGAAAAATCTTAAATGTAAAAAAATGAAAAAAGTTAAAACCGAAAAATCAGAAGTCGAAAAATTCTAAATAAAATCTGGAAAATCTAAAATGTAAAAAATCGAAACACCAAAATCTCGATTAATCGTGAAATCGAAAAATTGAAAAATCGAAAAATTTAAAACTGAAAAAATTCGAGAAAACGAAACTTTGAAAATTCAAGAAACGGAAAAATCGAAAAGTCGAAGAATTCTTTAGAAGTCAAGAAATCGAAAAAGAAAAAACTAAAACCGAGAAATCTAAATAGCCCAAAAATCCAAAAATTAAAATTTGAAAAATTTTAAATGCAAAAATTTAAATACCGAAAAATCTGGCAATCGAAACATTAAAAGAGAAATGGAAAAAACGAAAAGTTGGAAACTTGAGAAATCAGTCAACAAATCGTAACATCGAAAAAGAGAAAACTTAAACCGAGAAATCGAAATAGCCTAAAGTCAAAAAATTAAAAATCGAAAAATTAGAATATTAAAATTTCTGGTAATAATAACATCAAAAACTGTATAATCAAAAATGGAAAAATCTTAAAGTGGAAAATTAAAAAAATCGACAAATTAAAAGACTAAAAAAATGAAAAATAAAAAAAATCCACAGACCGGGAAATCGAAAATCAAGAAATGGAAAAATTGAAGAATTGAAACATCTAGAAATCAAAATATCTATTTAACGAAAAATCCAAAAGTCGAAAAACTGAGAAATCGGTTAGCCCAAAATCGAAAAATTAAAATCTGCAAAATTTGAATTGTAAAAAATCGGAACACCAAAATCGTGAAATCGAAAATATGAAAACCGAGAAATAAAAAAAATTAAAAACCGCAAAATCGTAAAAACTCAGGAAAACGAAACACTGAAAATTCGAGAAACGGAGAAATCGAAAAATTGAAAAATTGAAAAGTCAAAAATTCGAAAACCAGAAAACTAAAACCGAGAAATAGCCGAAAATCGAACAATTAAAAATTGAAAATTTGAAGAATTTTAAATGTAAAAGAATCAAAAAATTTTAAAACCGAAAAATCTGGTAATCGGAACATCAAAAATGGAAAAATCTGAAAATGGAAAATTTAATAGATCGAAAAAATGAAAAATCGACAAACCGAGAAATCGAAAATCGAGAAATGGAAAAATTGAAACATCGAGAAGTTAAGAAAATGAAACATCAAAAATTCGAGAAACGGGAAAACGAAAAAAATTGATAAATTGGAAAAAACGAAAAATGAAACAAAAAATGAATATAAAAAATCCCGATATTTCGAAAAACTAAGAAATCGAAAGCTGAAAATCGAGAAATCAGAAAGCCAAAAAGTCGTAAAATCGAAAAAGAGAAAACTAAAAAAAGCAAAAAATAAAAATAGAGAAATCGAAAAGCCAAACATCGACTAATCGAGAAATAGGGAAATCGAGAAAATGGCAAATCGAAAAATTCAAAAATCGCACAACTGACATATTGAAAAATTAAGTAGGTAATAGAAAAGTTGATAATCGAGGATTTAAAAAAATCAAAAATGGAAAAATTGAAGAATAAATTATTATATATTACTAAATATTATTAATAAAAATTAAAAATCCCAGAACTGAAATATTGACAAATCGAAAATTGAATAAGCCAGATAGCGAATCACCAAAAAATCGTAGTACATTCGTAAAGAGAAAAATGAAAAAATCGAAAAACTGAAAAATTAGAAAAAAGAAGTGAAAAATTTTAAATTTAAAAAAATATCGAAGAGACAGAAAAATGAAAACTCAAGAAATCGAAAATCGAGAAATCCATACATCGAAAAATTTTTAAGTTGAGAAACTAAAATCAGAAATTCAAACACATATTCTAATTGTAAAAAAACCGAAAAATTAAAAAATAGAAAAATCGGAAATTGCAACAAGCGAAAAATTGAAGAATTGAAAAACTAAAAAATCGGGAAATCAAGAAATCCAAGCATTGGAAAATTTAGAATTAGGAAAATCAAAAAATCGCCAAACTACAATATCAAAAAACCGAGAAATCGAAAATTTAAAAATCGTGAAATCGATAAGGCGAAAAATTGAGAAAACGAAAAATTCTTCTACAGTTTTTGGTTTTTTTTTGTGCCTCCATATCTAGGGAAAAAATACAACAAAGATTCATAAGCCACAATTAAAAAAAAATCCCAAATTAGCGCTTTATCATCTCTAACATACGTAAAAAAATACGTAACAATCGGTCTAATCTATCTCTCTAATAAAAATCCGGGCAGACGGCATTACAACACTTCCTTAGTTTACGCTCGGGACGCAAAAATCCCCAAGCCGGCCCTGTCTTTTCCCCCTGTTCACACCATTATCGAACAATTTGTCGCATTCTCACCCTAACCTCACTTCCACGAATTGGAGGGAAACCTCCCAGCACACGTAAGCACAAATAAACAAAACCCCGCATCCGACGCAAAAATGTAAACAATTCAATCAAAACATTTTATTTGAAATGGGTGGCCCCTTCTCAAAAATAAAATGGAGACGCCCATGACTCCCAAAAACTTGTTTTGAATCCCTCGCCGCGCCTGCAAATTCCACGGACCTGCCCCATTCCCGCAGGAACCGCAACCCCCCTGGAAAGCGAATTTTCCCTGGAAACGCAATTTTCAGAACCACAACGTGCATTGTGGTGAGAAGTGTGTTACCAACGTGACGCAGCAAAACAGTCTTCGAATTTCGAATAATTACCCCTTTTTCGGGGGTGGGGATCGTGGGGTGGTTTAAGTGTCGAGTTTTCGTGGAGTTTTGGTGACACGAACGACCTTCATGGTACAGTTTTTTCCAACTCTGCCACGACAAGCTTTGGAGCGTACCATACACCGATTCGGGATTGTTCCAGAGGAAAGTTCGGACGACACAGCCCCCATTTCTTGTGGAATTAAAAACAATATTCTGACAATTGGTCAATCCTCGGTTCCTCTATACCAAAACAAACATCTAACCAAAGTCCCTAACATCCTCTTCTACAACATTCCTCAGCACCTACACCTGATGGAAGCGATGCTTCAGGATTTCCACCTCGGCCACCATATTTTGCTCGTCGGGAACCAAGGTGTTGGAAAAAACAAAATCATTGATCGTTTCCTAGAACTGATGAACAGACCTAGGGAATACATCCAGCTGCATAGAGACACGACTGTGCAGACGTTAACCACACAACCTATCGTTCGTGATGGACTTCTAGTCCACGAGGACTCACCTCTGGTGAACGCCATCAAACACGGTCACGTTTTAGTGGTAGATGAAGCAGACAAAGCCCCAACTCATGTAACTTGCATCCTGAAGACTCTAGTAGAGTCGGGTCAGATGATCCTCAGTGACGGTAGACGAATCGTGCCTCTAATACCCCCAAATGGTCACCCGTCCAACTACATCCAGATCCATCCCGATTTTAGGATCGTGGTACTAGCAAACAGACCCGGATTCCCGTTTTTGGGGAACGATTTCTTTGGTGCTTTGGGCGACTTGTTTAGTGCCCATGCGGTAGAAAATCCCTCTGCGGATTCAGAAATCAGTCTTTTGAGACAATACGGACCTGATGTACCCCTTGATACTATAAAAAAGTTAGTGGGGGTGTTTGGGGAGTTGCGCAATATGGCGGATCAAGGGTTGGTTAGCTACCCCTACTCGACTCGTGAGGTTGTTAATATAGTCAAACACTTGGAACAATTCCCGGAGGCTGATTTAGAAGATGTTGTCTTCAACGTGTTTGATTTTGACCGGTACAGTCCTGAGGTGGTTGAAACTTTGGGGGAAGTTCTCCAAAAGCACGGTTTTTCGAGTAAGAACGTCATGGCGGCTGAGTATATGGCGGCTAAACGGGCTAGGGAGAAGATTCAAGTCACTAAGAGTAGGTATAGTGGGAAAGATGCCCAAGAACCGAAGCATGGTAAAGAGGATCCAGATAATGCCCCCCACGTTGGTGGTAACACATGGGCTGGGGGTACCGGCGGTCGCGACACAGCTGGTATGGGTGGTAAAGGTGGTCCTTATAGGTTAGACAAAGGTCACGAGGTCCACCAACTATCAGAGGAAGAAATTAACTCCGTCCCTGAACATATACAGCGTGCGGCTCGCGAAATGAACCGAAAAGCCTTCCAAGAAAAATTAAAAGAAATCGGGATGAGTGCCTACGATGCTACTCTATATAACCAGTTCTATAACGCTGTGTCCAGACAAATTCAGTCATTAAGGATCATTCTAGGGAATTTACAAGCTAAGAATAAAGAGAGACACTGGTCACGTCATCAAACCGCTGGAGAACTAGATGACGTCAAACTAATCGACGGTCTACTAGGAGAGAAAACTATTTTTCGAAGACGAGCCGAACAAGAACCCGAAATCGGCGCCCCACAACTCAAACCCAAACTATTCAGAGTGGTTGTAGATGTCTCTGGAAGCATGTACAGGTACGCGTCGCCATCTTAGCCGCCATTTTGTGTAACTTTGTTATGTGTCAGATTCAACGGATATGACGGTCGCTTGGATAAAGAACTAGAAGCCGCCGTTTTAGTAATGGAATCCTTCCAAGGCTTCGAAGACAAAATCCAGTACGATATTATTGGTCACTCGGGCGAAGCGCCTTTTATTTCATTCGTCAAACTCAAAGAGCACCCCAAAAACAATAAGGAACGACTGGACGTGATCAGAGTGAGTTAACTTAACTCGTGTGTGGCCTACTTTGACCCTGTTTTTTAGACGATGCACGCGCATGCGCAGTATTGTTGGTCCGGCGACCACACGCTAGAGGGCACTGAAGAAGCTATCAATTCTCTAGCGGAAGAAGATTGTGACGAGGCCATCGTGATCGTGTTGTCGGATGCCAATTTGGAACGATATAGGATACCTCCGTCGAAGTTGGCGGCTGCGCTGACGTCAAAGTCCAATGTTAGTGCCTATGTTATTTTTATAGGTGGTTTGGGGGATCAGGCGGAGAGGTGAGTCGTGATTTGGGGTTTTTTGGTTTGATTGGTTTGTTTGTAGATTGACTGAGAGGTTGCCGGCTGGACGGGCTTTTATATGTAGTGACGTCACTCAGTTGCCGCAGATTCTCAAGCAGATTTTTTCGTCGTCGGTTATTACCATATGAGGGTAATTTCTAGGGAATAAAACAATGTATAGTAAATAAAATTTTGTACAACTACTATAGTGACGTTGCAGTACGTTAAAAACTGAACTTCCCTCGCTCCTGAAGTGTAGTCCAACAAATCCCGCTTTTTTGAAAAATTCTAGAGTCGAAATATTGAAATTCTGAAAAATCCAGCTATTGAAAAATTCCTAAAATGCTAAAAAATTGAGAAATCGAGGACTTGAACATCGGAAAAATCAGAAAGTCGAAAAATTTTTAAAATTGAAAAATTGGAATATTAAAAATGTAGCAAACGAAACATCAAAAAATCGTAAATTCAAAAAAGTCGAAAAATTAAGAAATCGAAAAGTCAAGAAGTCGATTAATAGAGTAACTGAGAAATGCAGAAATTGATAAATTGGAAAAAAAAGAAAATTGGTAGAATTAAAAAATAAAAAAAATTGAAAATCGAAAGACCGAAAAGTCAAAAATTCGTAAAATATAAAACTAAAACCGAGATATCGAAATAGCTCAAACTCAAAAAATTGAATAATTTCGGAACATCAAAAAACCATAATCAAAAACGGAAAATCTAAAACTGGAAAAATAAAACAACATCCATCGGAAATCGAGAAATGGAAAAATTAAGAAATCGATTATCCCAAAATCGAAAAATTGAATCTGGAAAATCTAAAATGTAAAAAATCGAAGCATCAAAATCTCGGTAAATCGTAAAACCGAAAAAACTCGAGAAAACGAAACAATGAAAGTTCGAGAAACGGAAAAATCGAAAAGTCGAAAAATTGAGAAAAACGAATCAAAAAATCGAAAAAGAGAAAACTAAAACGGAGAAATCGAAATAACCCAAGTTCGAGAAATTCTAAATGCAAAAAAATCAAAAAAATTAAAAACCGAAAAACCTGGTAATCGATCAAAAAACTGTATAATCAAAAACGGAAAAATCTAAAACTGGATAATTAAAAAAATTGAAAAATCATAAATCGAAAGAATGAAAAATAAAAAAAATAGACAAACCGAGAAATCGAAAATCAAGGAATGGAAAAATTGACGAATTAAATCATCGAAAAATCGAAACATCAAAATTACGAGAAGTCGGTTAAATTAAATTCTGGAAAATCTAAAATTTAAAACGAAACATTGAAAAAAAACGAAAAAATCGAAAAGTCAAAAAATCGAAAAATCCAAAAAGGGAAAACTAAAACCGAGAAATCGAAAAGTCAAAAAGTCGATTAATAGAGAAACTGAGAAATGCAGAAATTGAAAAAAAAAACGAAAAATGGAAGAATTAAAAAAAAATTAAAATCTGAAAACTTAATACAAAAAATCAAAAAATTTAAAAACCGAAAAATCTGGTAATCGGAACGTCAAAAATCGCAAAATCCAAAAAGAGAAAACTAAAACTGAGAAATCGAAAAGTCAAAAAGTCGATTAATAGAGAAACTGAGAAATGCAGAAATTGATAAATTGGAAAAAACGAAAAATGGAAGAATTAAAAAAAATAAAAATCTGAAAACTTTTAATACAAAAAAATCAAAAAATTTAAAAACCGAAAAATCTGGTAATGGCAACGTCAAAAATCGAAAAATAGAAAATTTAAATCATCGAAAAATTAAAAGATCGAAAAAATAAAAAAATCGACAAACCGAGAAATCGAAAATCGAGAAATGGAAAATTTGAAAACCGAAAACTCGAAAAAACTTGATAAAACGAAAAATCGAAAAACTCGATAAAACGAAACATTAAAAATTCGAGAAACGGAAAAATCGAAAAGTCCAAAACTCGATTAACAGAAAAACTCAGAAATGCAGAAACTGATAAATTAGAAAGAAAACCAAAAATGAAAGTTGAAAATCGAGAAATCAAAAAGTCAAAAATTCGTAAAATAGAAAAAGAGAAAACTAAAACCGACAAATCGAAAGAGCCCAAAATCGAAAAATTGAAAAATCTTAAATGTAAAAAAATGAAAAAAGTTAAAACCGAAAAATCAGAAGTCGAAAAATTCTAAAAAAAATCTGGAAAATCTAAAATGTAAGAAATCGAAACACCAAAATCTCGATTAATCGTGAAATCGAAAAATTGAAAAATCGAAAAATTTAAAACTGAAAAAATTCGAGAAAACGAAACTTTGAAAATTCAAGAAACGGAAAAATCGAAAAGTCGAAGAATTCTTTAGAAGTCAAGAAATCGAAAAAGAAAAAATTAAAACCGAGAAATCGAAATAGTCCAAAAATCCAAAAATTAAAATTTGAAAAATTTTAAATGCAAAAATTTAAATACCGAAAAATCTGGCAAAAAGTTGGAAACTTGAGAAATCGAAAAGTTAACAAATCCTAAAATCGAAAAAGAGAAAACTTAAACCGAGAAATCGAAATAGCCTAAAGTCAAAAAATTAAAAATCGAAAAATTAGAATATTAAAATTTCTGGTAATAATAACATCAAAAACTGTATAATCAAAAATGGAAAAATCTTAAAGTGGAAAATTAAAAAAATCGACAAATTAAAAGACTGAAAAAATGAAAAATAAAAAAAAATCCACAGACCGGGAAATCGAAAATCGAGAAATGGAAAAATTGAAGAATTGAAACATCTAGAAATCAAAATATCTATTTAACGAAAAATCCAAAAGTCGAAAAACTGAGAAATCGGTTAGCCCAAATTCGAAAAATTAAAATCTGCAAAATTTGAATTGTAAAAAATCGGAACACCAAAATTGTGAAATCGAAAATATGAAAACCGAGAAATAAAAAAAATTAAAAACCGCAAAATCGTAAAAACTCAGGAAAACGAAACACTGAAAATTCGAGAAACGGAGAAATCGAAAAATTGAAAAATTGAAAAGTCAAAAATTCGAAAACCAGAAAACTAAAACCGAGAAATAGCCGAAAATCGAACGATTAAAAATTGAAAAATTGAAGAATTTTAAATGTAAAAGATTCAAAAAATTTTAAAACCGAAAAATCTGGTAATCGGAACATCAAAAATGGAAAAATCTGAAAATGGAAAATTTAATAAATCGAAAAAATGAAAAATCGACAAACCGAGAAATCGAAAATCGAGAAGTTAAGAAAATGAAACATCAAAAATTCGAGAAACGGGAAAACGAAAAAAATTGATAAATTGGAAAAAACGAAAAATGAAACAAAAAATGAATATAAAAAATCCCAATATTTCGAAAAACTAAGAAATCGAAAGCTGAAAATCGAGAAATCAGAAAGCCAAAAAGTCGTAAAATCGAAAAAGAGAAAACTAAAAAAAACAAAAAATAAAAATAGAGAAATCGAAAAGCCAAACATCGACTAATCGAGAAATATGGAAATCGAGAAAATGGCAAATCGAAAAATTCAAAAATCGCACAACTGACATATTGAAAAATTAAGTAGGTAATAGAAAAGTTGATAATCGAGGATTTAAAAAAATGAAAAATGGAAAAATTGAAGAATAAATTATTATATATTACTAAATTTTATCAATAAAAATTAAAAATCCCAGAACTGAAATATTGACAAATCGAAAATTGAATAAGCCAGATAGCGAATCACCAAAAAATCGTAGTACATTCGTAAAGAGAAAAATGAAAAAATCGAAAAACTGAAAAATTAGAAAAAAGAAGCGAAAAATTTAAAATTTAAAAAAATATCGAAGAGACAGAAAAATGAAAACTCAAGAAATCGAAAATCGAGAAATCCATACATCGAAAAATTGAAAAATTGAAAAACTAAAATTAGAAATTCAAACACATATTCTAATTGTAAAAAAACCGAAAAATTAAAAAATAGAAAAATCGGAAATTGCAACAAGCGAAAAATTGAAGAATTGAAAAACTAAAAAATCGAAAAATCAAGAGATGCAAGCATTGGAAAATTTAGAAATAGGAAAATCAAAAAATCGCCAAACTACAATATCAAAAAACCGAGAAATCGAAAATTTAAAAATCGTGAAATCGATAAGGCGAAAAATTGAGAAAACGAAAAATTCTTCTACAGTTTTTGTTTTTTTTTTGTGTCTCCATATCTAGGGAAAAAATACAACAAAGATTCATAAGCCACAATTAAAAAAAAATCCCAAATTAGCGCTTTATCATCTCTAACATACGTAAAAAAATACGTAACAATCGGTCTAATCTATCTCTCTAATAAAAATCCGGGCAGACGGGATTACAACACTTCCTTAGTTTACGCTCGGGACGCAAAAATCCCCAAGCCGGCCCTGTCTTTTCCCCCTGTTCACACCATTATCGAACAATTTGTCGCATTCTCACCCTAACCTCACTTCCGCGAATTGGAGGGAAACCTCCCAGCACACGTAAGCACAAATAAACAAAACCCCGCACCTGACGCAAAAATGTAAACAATTTAATCAAAACATTTTATTTGAAATGGGTGACCCCCTTCTCAAAAATAAAATGGAGACGCCCATGACTACCAAAAACTTGTTTTGAATCCCTCGCCGCGCCTGCAAATTCCACGGACCTGTCCCATTCCCGCAGGAACCGAATTTTTTCCTCAATTCCCGGCTCCAACCCCCCTGGAAAGCGAATTTTCCCTGGAAACGCAATTTTCAGAACCACAACGTGCATGGTGGTGAGAAGTGTGTTGCCAACGTGACGCAGCAAAACAGTTTCGAATTTTCGAATAATTACCCCTTTTTCGGGGGTGGGGATCGTGGGGTGGTTTAAGTGTCGAGTTTTCGTGGAGTTTTGGTGACACGAACGACCTTCATGGTACAGTTTTTTCCAACTCTGCCACGACAAGCTTTGGAGCGTACCATACACCGATTCGGGATTGTTCCAGAGAAAAGTTCGGACGACACAGCCCCCATTTCTTGTGGAATTAAAAACAATATTCTGACAATTGGTCAATCCTCGGTTCCTCTATACCAAAACAAACATCTAACCAAAGTCCCTAACATCCTCTTCTACAACATTCCTCAGCACCTACACCTGATGGAAGCAATGCTTCAGGATTTTCACCTCGGGCACCATATTTTGCTCGTGGGGAACCAAGGTGTTGGAAAAAACAAAATCATTGATCGTTTCCTGGAACTGATGAACAGACCTAGGGAATACATCCAGCTGCATAGAGACACGACTGTGCAGACGTTAACCACACAACCTACCGTTCGTGATGGTCTTCTAGTCCACGAGGACTCGCCTCTGGTGAACGCCATCAAACACGGTCACGTCTTGGTGGTAGATGAAGCAGACAAAGCCCCAACTCATGTAACTTGCATCCTGAAGACTCTAGTAGAGTCGGGTCAGATGATCCTCAGTGACGGTAGACGAATCGTGCCTTTAGTACCTCCAAATGGTCACCCGTCCAACTACATCCAGATCCATCCCGATTTTAGGATCGTGGTACTAGCAAACAGACCCGGATTCCCGTTTTTGGGGAACGATTTCTTTGGTGCTTTGGGCGACTTATTTAGTGCCCATGCGGTAGAAAATCCGTCTGCGGATTCAGAAATCAGTCTTTTGGGACAATACGGACCTAATGTACCCCTTGATACTATAAAAAAGTTAGTGGGGGTGTTTGGCGAGTTGCGCAATATGGCGGATCAAGGGTTGGTTAGCTACCCCTACTCGACTCGCGAGGTTGTTAATATAGTCAAACATTTGGAACAATTCCCGGGGGCTGATTTAGAAGATGTGGTCTTCAACGTGTTTGATTTTGACCGGTACAGTCCTGAGGTGGTTGAAACTTTGGGGGAAGTTCTCCAAAAGCACGGTTTTTCGAGTAAGAACGTCATGGCGGCTGAGTATATGGCGGCTAAACGGGCTAGGGAGAAGATTCAGGTGACTAAGAGTAGGTATAGTGGGAAAGATGCCCAAGAACTGAAGCATGGTAAAGAGGATCCAGATAATTCCCCCCACGTTGGTGGTAACACATGGGCTGGGGGTACCGGCGGTCGCGACACAGCTGGTATGGGTGGTAAAGGTGGTCCTTATAGGTTAGACAAAGGGCACGAAGTCCACCAACTATCAGAGGAAGAAATTAACGCCGTCCCTGAACATATACAGCGTGCGGCTCGCGAAATGAACCGAAAAGCCTTCCAAGAAAAATTAAAAGAAATCGGGATGAGTGCCTACGACGCTACTCTATACAACCAGTTTTATAACGCTGTGTCCAGACAAATTCAGTCATTAAGGATCATTCTAGGGAATTTACAAGCTAAGAATAAAGAGAGACACTGGTCACGTCACCAAACCGCTGGAGAACTAGATGACGCCAAACTAATCGACGGTCTACTAGGAGAGAAAACTATTTTTCGAAGACGAGCCGAACAAGAACCCGAAATCGGCGCCCCACAACTCAAACCCAAACTATTCCGAGTGGTTGTAGATGTCTCTGGAAGCATGTACAGGTACACGTCGCCATCTTAGCCGCCATTTTGTGTAACTTTGTTATGTGTCAGATTCAACGGATATGACGGTCGCTTGGATAAAGAACTAGAAGCCGCCGTTTTAGTAATGGAATCCTTCCAAGGCTTCGAAGACAAAATCCAGTACGATATTATTGGTCACTCGGGCGAAGCGCCGTTTATTCCATTCGTCAAACTCAAGGAGCACCCCAAAAACAATAAGGAACGCCTGGACGTGATCAGAGTGAGCTAGCTTAACTCGTGTGTGGCCTACTTTGACCCTGTTTTTTAGACGATGCACGCGCATGCGCAGTATTGTTGGTCCGGCGACCACACGCTAGAGGGCACTGAAGATGCTATCAATTCGCTAGCGGAAGAAGATTGTGATGAGGCCATCGTGATCGTGTTGTCGGATGCCAATTTGGAACGATATAGGATACCTCCGTCGAAATTGGCGGCTGCGCTGACGTCAAAGTCCAATGTTAGTGCCTATGTTATTTTTATAGGTGGTTTGGGGGATCAAGCGGAGAGGTGAGTCGTGATTTGGGGTTTTTTGGTTTGATTGGTTTGTTTGTAGGTTGACTGAGAGGTTGCCGGCTGGACGGGCTTTTATATGTAGTGACGTCACCCAGTTGCCTCAGATTCTTAAGCAGATTTTTTCGTCGTCGGTTATTACCATATGAGGGTAATTTCTAGGGAATAAACAATGTATATTAAATAAAATTTTGTACAACGACGTTACAGTACGTTAAAAAACTGAACTTCCCTCGTTCCTGAAGTGTAGTCCAACAAATCCCGCTTTTTTGAAAAATTGTAGAATCGAAATATTAAAATATCGAAAAACTGAAAAATCCAGCAGTTGAAAAGTTCCTAAAATGTTGAAACATTGAGAAATCGAAGACTTGAACAACGGAACAATCAGAAAGTCGAAAAATTGAGAAATCGAAAAGTCAAAAAGATAATTTTAAATATAAAAAATGAAAAACTTCTTCTAAAAGCGAAAAATCATGAAGTCGAAAAATTCTAGGGGCTAGTACTTGCGAAGATAAGATAGATTTTGGCAAATGACATATTTTCCAAGAAAACAGAGGGCGGGTGGGCGGGGCTAGTGCGTGCCAAGATAAGAATGATTTTTGCGAATGACATAACTTCCAAGAAATAGAGGGTGGATGGGCGAGGCTAGTACTTGCTAAGATAAGACTGAGTTTAACAAAAATTTACGATTAGAGCTTTTTTTTACTTTTTTCACATTTTAGATTCTATTAGTAGTTTCCACTTGACAAAAGAACAAAATCTGCCCCGCCCACCCACCCTGTCTCTTTTTCAGTGATTGATTTTATTCGAACTGAATGAAATTAATGATCTTATACTGAACAGAAACAAAATTAGTTGTTAGAATTAGAAGAGGGCGGGTGGGCGGGGCTATTATTTGCTGAGGTAAGACTGATTTTGGCAAATGACATCCTTCCAAGAATATAGACGGTGGGTGGGCGGGGCTACTACTTGATACAACAAGACTGATTTTGGCAATTTTGACATTTTCGACCATTGTTCAACTATCAGCGAAAATTAGTTGAAGACATTAAAATGTTCTTGTGGGTTTGAAAAAATTGAGAAATCGAAAAATTTAAAATTTAAAAATTGAAAAATTAAAACTGGAAAATTGAAAAAATCGAAAAAATAAAAAATCGAAATATGTAATATTTTAAAAATTTAAACATCGAGAAATCGAATCATCAAAATAACGAGAAATCGAGAAGTCGAAAAACTGAGAAATCAATTAACTCAAAATGGAAAAATTAAAATCTGGAAAATCTAAATTTTAAAGAATCGAAACACCAAAATCTCGACAAATGATGAAATCAAAAAATTACAAAACTGAAAATCGAAAAAACTCAAAAAAACGAATCATTGGAAAAAAAAAACAAAAAAATCGAAAAATTTTAATGCAAAAAAATTTAAAAACGGAAAAATCTGGTAATCGAAACGTCAAAAATCGAAAATTCTAAAATTGTAAAATTTAAATCGAAAAATTAAAGTATGGAAAAAATTTTAAATCAAAAAAATCAAAATTTCGATAAATTGTGAAATCGGAAAATTGCAAAATGAAAAATCGAAAAATTGAAAACCGAGAAATCGAAAAAATTAAAAACCCAAAATTCGAAGAAGGGAAAAATCGGAAAGTAGAAAAACTGAGAAATTGGAAAGTCAAAAAATCGTAAAATTGAAAAAGAGAAAACTAAAACTGAGGAATCGAAATAACTCAAAAATTTAAAAACCGAAAAATCTGGTAACGGAACATCAAAAGTGGAAAAATCCGCAAATGGAAAATTTAAAAAATCGAAAAAATAAAAAATCCAAAAAAATCGACAAACCGAGAAATGGAAAATTTGAAAACCGAAAAATCGAAAAACTCGATAAAACGAAACATTAAAAATTCGAGAAACGGAAAAATCGAAAAGTCGAAAACTTGAGAAATCGAAAAGTCCAAAACTCGATTAACAGAAAAACTCAGAAATGCAGAAATTGATAAATTAGAAAGAAAACCAAAAATGGAAAAATAAAAAAATGAAAAATCCCAAAAATGAAAGTTGAAAATCGAGAAATCAAAAAGTCAAAAATTCGTAAAATCGAAAAATAGAAAACTAAAACCGAGAAAGCCCAAAATCGAAAAACCGAAAAAGCTCGAGAAACCCGAAAAATCGAGAAATGGAAAAAATGAAAAATCAAAAAAATCGACAAACCGAAAAAATAAAACATCAAAATACCGAGAAATCAAAAAGTCGAGAAGTGACAAAATTGAAGAATTGAAACAACGAGAAATCGAAAAGTCGAGAAGTCGAAAAACTGAGAAATCGATTAGCCCAAAACCGAAAAATTAAAATCTGGAAAATTTAAAATGTTAAAAATCGAAACACCAAAATCTCGGAAGTTGTGAAATCGAAAAAACTCGAGAAAACGAAACATTGAAAATTCGACAAACGGAACAATCGCAAAGTCAAAAAATTGAGAAATCGGAAAGTCAAAAAATCGTAAAATCGAAAAAGAGAATATTAAACCGAGAAATCGATATAACCTAGTAAACGGAACATCAAAAATGCAAAAATTTGAAAATGGAAAATTTTAAAAATCGAAAAATTAAAAGATCGGAAAAATCGACAAACCGTGAAATCGAAAATCGAGAAATGGAAAACTTGAAAACCGAAAACTCGAAAAACTCGAGAAAACGAAACATTAAATATTCAAGAAACGGAAAAATCGAAAAGTTGAAAACTTGAGAAATCGAAAAGTCAAAAAGTCGATTAATAGAGAACCTGAGAAATGCAGAAATGGATAAATTGGGAAAAAACGAAAAATGGAAGAATAAAAAAAATGAAAATTCCCAAAAACGAAAGTTGAAAATCGAAAAATCGAAAAATAAAAATATCGTAAAAGAGAAAAAGAGAAAACTAAAACCGAGAAATCGAAATAACCCAAGATCGTAAAATTAAAAATTGAAAAAATTTAAATGTAAAAAAATCAAAAAATTTAAAACCGAAAAATCAGAAAGTGGAAAAATTCTAAAAATTGAAAAATTAAATATTAAAATATCTGGTAATCGAAGCATCAAAAAATTGTACATATAATCAAAAATGGAAAAATCTAAAACTGTAAAATTCAAAAAATCGAAAAATTATAAGACTGAAAAAATTAAAATAAAAACACAAGCCTAGAAATCGAAAATCGAGAAATGGAAAAATTAAAGAATCGAAAAGTCGAAAAATTGTGAAATCGAGAAGTCAAAAAATCAAAAAAGAGAGAACTAAAACCGAGAAATCGAAATAGCCTAACATCAAAAATCGAAAAATTTTAAATGCAAAAAAATCAAAAAATTTTAAAATCGAAAAATCATACTGGAAAAATCTGAAAATGGAAAATTTAATAAATCGAAAAATTAAAAATTGAAAAAATTTAAATGTAGAAAAAATCAAAAAATTTAAAACCGAAAAATCAGAAAGTGGAAAAATTCTAAAAATTGAAAAATTAGTATATTAAAATATCTGGTAATCAAATTAATTAAAAATCAATCGGAACATCAAAACTGGAAAAATCTGAAAATGGAAAATTTAATAAATCGAAAAATTAAAAGATCGAAAAAATGAAAAAAACAAAAAATGAACAAACCGAGAAATCGAAAATCGAAAAATGGAAAAATTGAAACATCGAGAAATCGAAACATCAAATCGTGAAATTCCACAATCAAAAATTCGAAACATCAAAGTCTCGATAAATTGAGAAATTGGAAAGTCGAAAAATTTACAAACCGGAAAATCTAAAATCGAGAAGTGAAAAAACCTAAAAATTGAATGTAAAAGATGAAAAATCGAAAAATCGACAAGTTAAGAAAATGAAACATCGAAAATTCGAGATTAAACGAGAAACTGAGAAATGGAAAAATTGATAAATTGGAAAAAAACGAGAAATAGAAGAATAAAAAAATCTGGAAAAATCCCAAAACTGAAATATCAAAAATCTGAGAAATCGAAAGTTGAAAATCGAGAAATCGAAAAGCCAAAAAGACGTAAAATCGAGATATAGACAACTAAAAAATCTAAAATCGAGAAATGGGAAAAGCAAAAAATTAAAATTGGAAAAATAGAGAAATCGAAAAGTTAAACATCGAGACATTGGGAAATCGAGAAAATAAAAAATCGAAAAATTCAAAAAACGCACAAATGATACATTGAACAATTAAGTAGGTAATCGAAAACTTGAAAATCGAGGATTTAAAAAAATCAAAAATCAAAAAATTGAAGAATAAAAAAAAATAAAAATCCCAGAACTGAAATATTGAAAAACTCAAAAATCGGAAGTTGAATAAGCCAGAAAGCGAATCACCAAAAAATCGTAGTACGAGAAAGCGAAAAATTTAAAATTAAAAAAATTGAAAAGACAGAAAAATGAAAACTCAAGAAATCGAAAATCGAAAAATCCATACATCGAAACATTTAAAAATTGAGAAACCAAAATAGCTCAAAATCGAAAATCAAAAATTCAAATATTATAATTGTAAAAATAACGAAAATTTAAAAAATAGAAAAATCGGAAATTTCAACAAGCGAAAAATTGAAAAAATCAAAATCTAGATAAATCATAAAATCCAAAATTTGAAAATCGAAAAATTGAAGATTTGAAAAACTGAAAAAGTCGAGAAATCAAGAAATCCAAGCATCGGAAAATCTAGAAATAGGAAAATCAAAAAATCGCCAAACTAAAATATCGAAAATTTGAATACATATATAGGTAATAGAAAAACTGAAAATCGAGAAACTGAAAACTTGAAAAATTTCAAAACTAAGATATCGAAAATTAAAAATCGAAAAATCGAGAAAACGAAAAATTCTTCTAGTTTCATTTTTTTTTTCAAATATTTGCATATCTAGGAAAAAAAAACCAAAAAGATTCACAATGAATGGAGGAATTTAAAAAACATTTATTACTGTGAATTTTGGAGTAGGTTAGGTAGAATGGTGCTTGCCCACTACACCTTGGGTCGTGGGTTCGATTCCCGCTCTACCTCTGGGTGTTGGGTTGAATAAAATAAAAAAAATATATAAAAATCCCATTATTGGTGGGGATAACATACGTAAAAAAGTACGTAAGAATCGGTCTAATCTATCTGTCTAATAAAAATCCGGGCAGACGGCATTACAACACTTCCTTAGTTTACGCTCGGGAGGCAAAAATCCCCAAGCCGGTCCTGTCTTTTCCCCCTGTTCACACCATTATCGAACAATTTGTCGCATTCTCACCCTAACCTCACTTCCGCGAATTGGAGGGAAACCTCCCAGCACACGTAAGCACAAATAAACAAAAACCCGCACCCGACGCAAAAATGTAAACAATTTAATCAAAACATTTTATTTGAAATGGGTGACCCCTTCTCAAAAATAAAATGGAGACGCCCATGACTCCCGAAAACTTGTTTTGAATCCCTCGCCGCGCCTGCAAATTCCACGGACCTGCCCCATTCCCGCAGGAACCGAATTTTTTCCTCAATCCCCGGCTCCAACCCCCCTGGAAGGCCAATTTTCCCTGGAAACGCAATTTTCAGAACCACAACGTGCATGGTGGTGAGAAGTGTGTTGCCAACGTGACGCAGCAAAACAGTTTCGGAATTTCGAATAATTACCCCTTTCTCAGGGGTGGGGATTGTGGGGTGGTTTAAGTGTCGAGTTTTCGCGGAGTTTTGGCGACACTACCACGAAAACACGGTAAATGGGGCGCTTTTCGGGCCGACTTTTTGTCCGTTGTGTTGGTGGTTTGACGACGCCAAGCCGCATGGTATCATGGGATAATCATGTACGTCTGTGACAAGTGAAACTATTCGCGTTTTGAAGGTAAAATAAACAGATGATAAAAGTCCCATTTCAGGGTTAGTTCCACCCGGTGCGCCCCGTTTCGGCCCAGGGTGCGATTTCAGGCCCCATTGTGGTCATCCCCGCCACACAACGACCTTTGTTTTTGGTGTGGTTACTATTTATAAAGTCAAAATGATCGCCGCAGATCCCTGTAAAAATGGCAATGGGACAACAAACCAGAATTCGATGTGAATTGGTTGTTTTAACGCGGATTTTCGACTTTCAGACACGATTCGTGGAGGTTTAATGTGCGGGACAAAATGAGCGACGACGAAGGCCCGAAATACAAAGATGGAGACATTGTTTGGGTCAAATTGGGCTCTTGTTGGTGGCCCGGAGAAGTCACAGACAACGCTCCTGAGGACTACTCGTCCAAAAAGCCGCCTCTGGCGATTGTAAAGTTTTTTAATGAAAGCACATAGTAAGTTGGATTTACACGATAACCTAACCTTACTTTTTGTTTTTAGTGAATTTGTTAAAAGTCACAACAATATTTACTACTATAACTGCGACAGGAAGAATGAGTTTATTAAAAAGGGCATGGGTAAGTGGGTGACTTTTGAGACGGTTTTTTTTTTTAAAGTGTGATTGTAGATTCCTTCCGTGCTAACAACACCCACATGGCGAAATTCCCGGGTGACGTGAGTCTAGCTGAGATACGCACAGACGGCAACCCCAACATCCTCAGCGACCCCATTTTCGCCCCCCAGAAGCAAAATCGCAGCACTATTATTGCGGAGGTTTTCGGCAGCCCTAGCCCCAAGAAAACTCCCAAGGAAAGCAAGCATGTGCGACGCGTCGCTTCAAGTAAGTTTTCACTCAAACCCGTGTTGTTGCTAATATCCGCTTCCAGAAAACTCGTCGAAGAAGCCCAAGGTGAACATCACCCACCGGAGGTTTCTGGGCTGCGACGACTACGAGGCCCACATCCGGGTGCAGTACCCCGGCAAGGACACCGAGCACTTGAGCAGTGACGAGGAAATTGTGCGTTTGAATGCCGAACCCAGCCAGACTTTCAATTGTTCGACGTGCTCGTTTAACACGAATCGCTTGGAAGTGATGTTGTTCCACGTCCAGTGCCATATCAAAGGCATCGCGTCGCCTGTGCACGTGAAGAAAAAAGCGTCCCCGAAGAAGAAGAAAACGCGGGTTATTCAAAAACACATAACTTCTGACGATGACAGAACTAACTCTAGTGCTGGCTACTTTGACACGGACAGTGAAGAAGAGAAGCCGAAGCCGAAGAAGAAGAAACGAGCGGCGCCGAGCCCGAAGAAGCCGAAGCCCAAACAAGTCGAGGAGGAGAAAACCGCGACGGATATCCGCAGCAACTTGTTGGCGGAGTGGAGCGACAGCGAAGATAACGAAGAAATCGAAACCAGTCGAATCGACACGAGCGGGGAGATTAGCGACAAGAAAGAAGACAAAGAAGACGACAAAGACAAAGAAAACGAGAAAGAAAGTAAAAGTGAAGATCAAACTAATAAAGATTCAAATAAATCGTGCTTCGATTTCGACGAAGAAGACGAAGATAGTAGTATAGTCCACACGGCGGTGGGGCGCAAAATCCCCCGAGTCATCCCTCCAACTGACAAGCGAAAATCGACCGATCCGGATAACGAAGACGCGAGTCTCCCGGTAGCCGAAGACGACCACAACCGCATGGAAATCCTCAAGGTTAACGAAAACTTGAACGAGAGCTCGAATTCGGTGTCGAACGACACCGAGCTGGCGAAAGAAGAAGAAGTTTTCAAGGATTTGATGGACTCGACGTCGGTGCCTGAGTTACCGGAGGTCCCCGATTCCTCGAAACCGCAGAAAAATTTTTCCGACAATAAAACCGTCAAAATCCCGGACAAAAAGAGCGAGAATGTCACAGAAGTCGCAACGAAATTGACAAACCCGAAGAAGCGCTTCGTGAAGTCGTTCGAAGATTTTGAGTTGCTTCAGAACGAGCAGAGGAGAGCGCAGGAGGAAAAGGAGGAAGAGATGAAGCGGGAGAAGGCGGTTATTGTGGAACCCGTGGAAGCGGCGGCGGAGACACCCCCAGTGGAAGAATCGCCGCCGCCGCTGCCGCCTCCCGAGGAACCACCGACGACTGCGGCAGAAGAATTAGACCCGACGGTGGAAAAAACACCCTCGGAATCGCCTCCAGTTGAAGAAGACGCGTCTCCAGTCGTGGACGATCCACCAGTCGTGGAAGAACCGCCGCCCATAGCAGAAGAGACGACGACAACTCCACTGGAAGAGAAAATCGAAGACAAGAAAGAAGAACCAGAAGAAGACAAATCCGAATCTCAGGTTGTCGAAACTCCGGAAGTACCCGACTTCTCGGACCCGAAAGAATTCCTCGAACCGAAGGAACCCCCCGAAGCCAAATCCATCGATTCGAACTTACAAATTTCCAAACTGAAATGTCAAATCATGTCGAAACTAAGCGACGACGAGCCCGAATCTTCAAAAGTAACGAAGAAAAGCTCGCACCGGACCCCTAGAAGCAAAATCCTTGAGTCGTACAGAAACGACAAGTCTAAAGAAAAGCAGCGCCGAAGCGTCGACGAAAAAGAAGAAACCGCCGAAGAACTAAAAAAGGAGCACCACGCCCCAAAAAAGTCAAAATTTCTAAAATTCGCGCAGGAAGAAAACGACAATGAAGACGAAGCGATGAAAGAAGAAACGAAGAGTGACATCATCAAAGAAGTGGAAGCCATCCCGGAGAAGAACCCTGACGAAGAAATCGGCAAGATCAACCAAATCGACCAGTACTTGAACGACTTTCTTTTCGATTTTCCGAAGAAGGCGGAAACGCCGCCGAAGGAGCTTGAAGAAACTAAAATCGAAGAAGAGAAGGTCGAAAAACCGTCGAACGAGTTGCACATTAAATGTGTGACTAGTACCGACGATCAAGAAAGCGAAGTCGTCGATATTTCAATTAAAACTAATTTAACGAATTTTAACAAAAGCGAGGAAGAGATGTCCGCTTTGAGCACTCTGGCGATGGTTTCGCAGCTCGAAACCGCCCCGCCTGACGACAAAATCGATGAGCCGGTGAAGACGCCCTTCGAGCCGAAACCCGAACCCGAGCTTGTCCCCATCGACGGGAATTTAACCGTCGTTTCGGAGAAGGATTTGGCCGACGGCCAGGTGGAAATCACCGCCAGCGCCTCCCCCATCTACAAGAAACCCGTGACTTTGACGAATTTCTCGATGGACTTTTCCGAGTGTAACAGCAACAGCACTAACGACAGCGTGACCAGCGAACTAGAAGAAAAACCGAAAGAAGAAACGAAGAAAATCCCCGGTCCTGAAGACGTCTTCGACTTGGAAGAGCACATCCCGTCGCAAATCGTCGACAAAGCCAAACCGACGCCTCTGAGTCACTCTTCAAAACTTCTAGAAAGACTGACGGAACCGAAACCTAAAGACAATTCGACTCCGAAAAGTTTAAAAGTGCCTACCAAAGATAGTACAAAAGTCGCCAAGACGAAATTCGTTATAAAGCCGCCGCAAAAGGTGGCAAAACCTCCGCCGCCTCAATCGAATAAGCCGATCATCCTGTCGGAGAAGATAATCAAACCGGTGAAAGGAGCCGGAGATTCGTCGGGCTCGGTGTCCGTGCAGAAGATCACGTCGAAGCGGAACTTGCACGACCCGGACGAAATCGACGCGTTTATAATCCAGAAAGGCGCGAAGAACGTGGACGAGGAGGACGAGGAGCACGAGGAGTTGGCAGAAATACCTGCGAAGAAGTCGCGCAAGAACACGTCGGGGATGGACCCGAAGAAGCTCCAAGTCTCGTCGACGGCCACCTCCGTGAAGAAAAGAGGCAAGGCGAAGATTTTGCAGCAGACGATCATCACACCCGCCGGCGAAATTATACAACCGAACGTGGCGGCGGCGGCGGCGGCGGCGGTCGTGTCGCAAGACGACAACGTCTTCGATATCAACTCGATGCCTATAGTCTTATCCGACCAAATCCTGACGCCCGAGAGTATAGAGAACATGCCGATTTACTTGAGCGAATCGACGCCTGAACCCATCACCCCCACCACGAAAATCCAGACGACCATAGTGAAGAAGACGCCCGTGACGGTGCAGAACCAGCAAGTGAGACTTTTGAATAAGTCGATCGCGTCGCCGGTGCCCAAGCTGGTCAAGACGCCCAAAATTTTAGGCAGCGTGGGGTCCAAGCTGGTCAAGCACAATTCGTTCTCGCCGGGGGCCGGGAAGCATGGGAAGTACGTGATCGTGACGCAGGCGGGGACGACGCCGACGAGTCGGTACACGGTGGGGAAGAAGCAGACGATTATCAAGAGGGTCGCTGGGGACCTGGGGGTCACGTCAGCCGGGACTTTGACTAAAGTGCAAAATATAGCGCCCGAGCCGAGCGGGAATAAGATTATGATACTGACGGACCAGCAGGGGCAGCAGCAGAGGGTGCTGCTGACGCCGGCGCAGCAGAAGATGATGGGGTACCAAGGACAAGGCGGGAAGGTCGCCAAGACGGTGGTCAAAGGTGAGTGAAATCGTGATAATCCGGTCCTGTCCGAGGTTCCTTGGTGGATGTTATAGTCCGTTTACCCAACAGATGGAGCGATCACGTGCGCTTCGAAAATATTTTTGCCTGTTTATAAATGCGTCTTATATTATTTATTACTTCTTGAGCGTAAGCTAAGATAATCGAGTCAATCGGACGACTTGCCACTTTCATCTTTTCTCGACGTTTCATGGCCTCTAGAGTACGAAATTTGGGAATACACTGCAATATTTCGATTTTTCAGTTTCTCGATTTTTAATTTTTTCAATTTTCAATTTTTCGCTTCCTTAATTTTTCAAGTTTTTGATGTTTATTTTTCATTTCCATTATTTTTTTAACTTTTCTTTCGATTTTATCATTTTTCGTTTGTTCAGTATTTCAATTTTTTAGTTTCTGAATTTTTATTTTAATCTTTCGGTTTTTGAATTTTTCGTTTCTTGAGTTGTTCAAGTTGTTGTTCTCCAGTTTTTAAAATTTTCCATTTTCTCGTTTTTTGCTTTTTCGTTTTTTCATTTTTGATTTTTGAATTTCACAATTTTTCCATTTTTTTGATTCACAAAGTGGAAAAATCAAAAAACTAAAAAGTTGGAAAAAATTGAAAAATCAAAAACTGGAAAATCGAAAAATTGAAAAATTAAAAATCGAAGAATTGAAAAATTAAAAATCGAAGAATTGAAAAATCGAATAAAATAATGAAAAACTTTTAAAAATTATGATTATTATTATTATTACACAATTAAAGTGAAAACTACAAAAATCTAAAATTGAAAAATTGAAAAAATGAAAAATTGAAGAAGGGAAAAATTGAAAAAATTAAAATTGAATAAACAAAAGTTATAAAAAAAGGATTATTGAAAAATCGAAAAATTGTAAGAAGAATTAAAATGAAACATTCAAGTATCGAAAAATTGAAAAATTAAAATCAATAAAATAAGAAAATTCTAAAATTGTAAAACGGAAAAAGTGAAATCTTTAAAAAATTATTATTATTACATATTTAAAATAGAAAGTATAAAAATTGAAAATCAAAAATTGAAAAAACGAGAAACTGAAAAATCTAAAGTTTAAAAGACGAAAAATAAAAAATCTAAAATTGAAAAATCCAAAAAATGAAAAATTTCACATATTGTAGAAAAAAAGAAAAATTATAAAATCAAAACGAAAAATTGAAAACTCGTGAAATTGCAAAATCTGAAAATGGAAATATCCAGAAGTTGGAAAATCTAATTAGAAAATCTGAAAAATTTAAAAATGAGAAATTGAAACGAAAAATTGAGAAAATTAAAATTGATTCAACATAAAAGTTACAAAAAATGGAATATTGAAAAATCGAGAAATTGTAAAAATAATTAAAATGAAATATTCATGTATCGAAAAATTGAAAAATTAAAAACCGGAATATGGAAAAATTCTAAAATTGTAAAATAGAAAAAATTAAATGTTTCATAAATTAGTAATTTTTTTATTTGAAAATGAAAACTCGAAGAACATGTAAAGTTGAAGAAACAAAAAAGTTATAAAAACATATTATTGAAAAACCAGAAAATTGAAAAAATAATTAAAATAAAATATTTTTTCCACGACCACTATGTAATAGCGTCAATTACGCCTAGCCTAGTTGATGTCTAAATGCCTAGTTACGTGCACCCTTACGTTATGAAACAGAACTAGCACGTAATAATATTACGTGCATGTGTTGGGAAATTTTCGTTTGATGGAGATGTCAGCTGGAAATTGCCAACTGTCAAACAGTCGTTTATAACTGGCGCGTTGTGGTTGTATACAGTCGGTGGACATATAAAACTGGTACAAACTGTCTTAAAAATTATGAGGAAAATGAAAAATTAATTTTGTGTAAATCTGTCTTGTTGACGTTGATGTTATGTGCCATGATAGATGGATAACGCATATTTGGCCGACAATGGTCTCGGGAATCAAGCTTGATACTCATTAGAAAAATTTCTTTGTACCAGTCTTATATGTCCACCAATTGTACATAATTTTCATTTTCTTAAAGCAGAATTGTCTGGAACTGAAAATTTTCAAGATATGCCTTCAACACCAACGGCTATATTGGCACCTACAACTGCAGTATTAGAGAAATGTACTACTACTGTTCTAGAAAAAACTGGAACGCCAATAATTACAAAAAAATGTCAAAACTTTACGATTAACTTTCATACCATAACTAATTGTTAACATTTTCAATGTATAATTATATTTTGTAGTTAATACATAGCTAAAATCAAATATTAACTTCTTTCACATTGAAATATTTTTGGGGTGTGGTCGTGGAAAAAGTATAGTACACGACTCGTGTGCAAACGCTCATTACGCGCTCGTTGAATTACTGCACTCGCCCCTACGGGGCTCGTGCGCAATTTTTCAACTCGCGCGTAATAAGCTATTTACCACACTCGTTATGTAATATACTATTAAGTATCGAAAAATTGAAAAATTAACAACCGAAAAATGGGAGAATTCTAAAATTGTAAAATGGAAAAAGTGAAATGTTTAAAAAATATTATTACATATTTAAAATGAAAACTAGAAAAGTTGTACATCAAAAAATGAAGAAAGTGAAAATTTTCACATGGAAAAAAAGAAAAGTTGTAAAATCAGAAGACTGAAAAACCAAAACGAAAAATTCAAAATTCGTTAAATTGCAAAATCTAAAAATTGAAATATCCAAAAGTTGGAAAATCGAAAATCTAAGAAATTTAAAAATGAAAATCGTCGAAACGAAAAATTGAAAAAATTAAAATGAGATATTCAAATATCGAAAAATTGAAAAATGAAAAACCGGAAATTGGAAAAATTCTAAAATTGTAAAACGGAAAAAGTGAAGTCTTTAAAAAATTATTATTACATATTTAAAATGGAAAGTATAAAAATTGTAAATCAAAAATTGAAGAAACGAAAATTTAAAAACCTAAAATTGAAAAATCCAAAAAATGAACAATTTCACATTCTGTAGAAAAAAAGAAAAATTATAAAATCAGAACACTGAAAAATCAAAACGAAAAATTGAAAACTCGTGAAATTCCAAAATGTAAAAATTTAAATATCCAAAGTTGGAAAATCTAAATCGAAAATCTGAAAAATTTAAAAATGAAAAATTGAAACGAAAAATTGAGAAAATTAAAATTGAATCAACAAAAAAGTTACAAAAAGGGAATATAAATAAATAATTCTAAAATTGTAAAATAGAAAAAATAAAATGATAATTAATAAATTAGTATCACATATTTAAAATAGAAACTGGAAAAGTTGTAAATCAAAAAGTGAACAATTTCACATGGAAAAAAGAAAAATTATAAAATCAGAACACTGAAAAACCAAAACGAAAAATTGAAAAACTCGTGCAATTGAAATATCCAAACGTTGGAAAATCGAAAATCTGAAAAATTTAAAACGAAAATGGAAAAATTCTAAAATTGAAAAAAGGGAAAGTGAAATATTTAAAAAATTCTTGTTCCATATTTAAAATGGAAATTAGAAAAGTTGTAATTCAAAGATTCAAGACACGAAAAATTGAAAAATGAAACTGAAAAATTTAAAATTGAGACCAAAAATTAAAATTCCAAAATTGACAAATTCAACAAGTGAAAAATTTCCCACTGAAAAATTCAAATACTAAAAGAATAAAAAACCCAAGCGAAAAATTTAAAATTGAAGATTTAAAAAATTGAAACATTCGAAAGTTGAAAAATCAAACAACTGAAAATTTTTAAACTGTCGTATAATTGAAGAAACAAAAAAAAATTAAAATAAAATCAGAACATTGAAAAACCGGAAAACTGAAAAAATTAAGAAAATAAAAAATCGAAAAACTGAAAAATTTTAAAATGAAAACTCGATGAGTTGCATATCGTAAAAATGAAGAAACAAAAAGAAAAATTATAAATCGAAAATTTGAGGAAATGAAAAATTGAAGAACCGAAAAATTAAAAATCAAAAAATTGAAAAGTCGAATAAATTTAAAAGTTTAAAATTGAATCATTGATTAATGGAAAAATTCTAAAGTCGAAATATTGCAAAATCTAAAAATTTAAATATCCAAACGTTGGAAAAATGCAAATTTGAAAAATTTAAAAATGAAAACTCGAATAACATGTCGTAATTTTGAAGAAACAAAAACGTTATAAAAAAGGGTTATTGAAAAACCAAAAATTGTAAAAATACTTACAATATTTTAAGTATCGAAAAATTGAAAAATGGGAAAGTGATATATTTAAAACATGATTATTACATGTTTAAAATGGAAATTAGAAAAGTTGTAAACCAAAAATTCACGACACGAAAAATTGAAAAATGAAACTGAAAAATCTAAAATTGAGAAAACCAAAAATTAAAAATCCAAAATTGACAAATTCAACAAGTGAAAAATTTCCCACTGAAAAATTGAAATACTAAAAGAATAGAAAACCGACACGAAAAATTGAAAATTCAAGATTTAAAAAATAAAAAAAATCGAAAAATTGCAAAATCTAAAAATTGAAACATTCGAAAGTTGAAAGATCAAAAAACTGAAAATTTAAAAATCGAACAATGGAAAAATTCTAAAATTGTAAAATGGAAAAAGTGAAATGTTTAAAACGGAAACTAAAAAAGTTTTAAATCGAAAATTGAAAGATCCAAAAATTACAAATTTTTATTTTGAAAAAAAAATCATAAAATCAGAACATTGAAAAAACGGAAATTTGAAAAAATAAAGAAAACAAAAAATCGAAAAACTGAAAAAATTTAAAATGAAAACTCGATGAGTTGCATATCGTGAAATTGAAGAAACAAAAAGAAAAATTATAAATCGAAAATTTGAGGAAATGAAATAAATTGAAGAACAGAAAAATTAAAAATCGAAAAATTGAAAAATCGAATAAATTTAAAAGTTTTAAAATTGAATATGTAATTGATTAATGGAAAAATTCTAAAATCTAAAAAGTGAAATATTTTGAAAATTATTATTATTATTACATGTTTAAAATGAAAACTAAAAAATCGAAAAATTGCAAAATCCAAAAATTGAAATATCCGAAAATTAAAAAATTGAAAAACTGAAAAATTTTAAAATGGAAACTACTCGTTATAAATCGAAATATTTGGAATTGAAAAAACAAAAAGTATAAAATCGGAAAATTGAAAAATGAAGAAATTGAAAAACCGAAATGAAAAATGTGTCTTCAATGGTCATTTTTATGATCTTCTAGCATTTATACTTGGCAGTTTTTATCGTGTGACTGTCTCTTTGTGTGGTTGTTGACTTAGCTTTCTCGTCATAATAAGTGCATTCAGGAACGTTACTATTAAATGTATCGCATCCAGATGCACTTCCCCTTTGACACAACAAAGCCTACTCGACTCCACCGAATTAATTTGATAATCAACCCCGAGTGCGGTTGCCACACAACCACCCACCCTCCCCGATCAAGTGTCCTCCAATCACCGCCCCCACCCAAACGCTCGCGTCCCTGTCAAGCGCATCCCGTAATCTGTCTCCTCCGCAGGCAACATCGTCCAGAAGTCGAAAGACGGGCAAATGACCGCCGTCCCCGGCTCCAGCGGGCTGCTCTCCAAGGGCCTCGCCTCGTCCCGCCTCGCCGGCCAGACCCTCATCTCCAGCAGCGGCCACGTGCTCACCCCCGTCCACCCCTCGCAGGCCAAAGCCCTGCGCGTCGAGAAGCCCGCCCCCGGCCGCAAGATCCAGATGCAGAGCCAGAAGGTGCCCCTCAAGCCGCCGCAGAAGACCATCCTGATCAAGAACCAGCACGGCCAGACCGTGCGCAAGATCCAAGGCACGGACGACGCGCTCCTCGACAAGCAGGTGGCCGAGCAGATCGAGGCGATCAAGGCGAGCGGCGCGCTGCACAAGCAGGAAGCGCTGGGCTACAAGGCGGCGCCGAAGACGGCGTTCCGCCGCTCGTACGCCAAGAAACCGGAGAGCCCGAAGCCGGCGCCGGTGCAGAAGCCGAAGGAGGCGGCGCCGCCGCCGCTCGCGCCGATCTCGCCGAAGAAGGAGGAGCGCGCGGCGCCGGAGGGCAAGCAGGAGCGGGCGCTCCACCAGCTGGTGATACAGGACGCGATGGGCAACCAGACGACGATCACGGAGGGGCAGATCCTGGCGCTGCCGAGCGAGACGATCGACGGCCAGCCGCAGTCGTATATGTTGGTCACGTTGGACGAGTCGGGGAATCTGACGCCGCTGAATAACGAGGCGCTGCTGTCGCTGGATCCGAACCTCGGGCTGGGAGGGGATCTGGGGAACACGGTGCTGCAGATCGACCAGAGCGCGCTGAAGGAGGAGCCCGCGGTAAGTGAGACGACGCGGACGCGCTTCAGCAGCTACGCTGTCTTCTCGTACTTGAGTCAACTAAAGCTGATCCAACAAGTATTTCGTAAAATTGGTAGAACTATCATAACCTAACTTTCTTGAGCGCTTAAAAGTGTCATTCACGGTCTGGTCGAAATAGGGTGACCATGAAAATCTAGTAAATTTGTTGCTAATCCGTACAAAGTAATCAAAATTTTTTGTTGGGTTCTTTATATTACCTTAAATGTAAGGTTAGGAAAGTGTGAAACTTTCAAATTGACGGTAATCTAATAAAGAAAACTGTCAAACCATCCTGAAATAAATGTCAAACTATTGTCACTGTTGACAGACAACTACGTCACCGAATCAGTTTGTCCAACATGAAAAAAAAAAAATGCAACACCCCTTCACTTCAACAACGTCGTGAATTAATTATAGCAAGTGACTATTAATTTGTATTTTTTTTGTCGGGTTGGCAACATATTTAAAATTTTATGATGGCAAACCTGTTACCCAACAACTGACACACTAGCATTGCTGCCAAAACAAAAAAAATCCATAATAAGTAACAATCACCGAGTATTTAGTAAATGAAGTTGGTAACTGTCAAACCAGGTCGAAGTAAATGTCAAACCACAGACGGATAAAAGATTATACCATCGAAACAGTGTGGCCAACATAAAGAAAAAGTATCTAATGCGTACTTTACTTCTAAATGATAGTGAGTAAATAATATTTAAGAAATGTCGTAGAAAACTGTCAAGCTATTGACAGATAACTGTACTACCGAATTCAGTTTGTCCAGTATGAAGAAAAATAATGAATGCGTACTTTACTTTGAATGAGTCTGTTGATGTTAGTGATATTGTTTTATCATGTTGGCAATACTTTTAAAATTTTGTAATGGCTTAGATGATTTCTATATTGACATTAATGGCTCCAAGTCAGTAGCTGTCATTTTCTCAACAAGTTTGTTAGGCGCGCTCTTGTCAAAATTGACAACTGTGAATTGACATAATTGTATTGCTACCAACACAGAAATTTGCATCAATCAGTAATACAATCATCCGGTATTTTGTAAATGGAGTAGGTAACTGTCAACCAAGTCTAAGTAAATGTCAAAATACTGACATAAAATATTATACTATCGAATCAGTGTGTCCAACATGAAGAAAAAGTATCTAACGCGTACTTGAATTTTGAATGATCGTGAATAAATAATATTTAACAAATGACGGAGAAAACTGTCAAACCGCCTTGAAGTAAACGTCAAGCTATTGACAGATGACTGTATCACAGTACTCAGTTCGACCAACATGAAGAAAAACAATGAATGACTAATTTACTTTGAAAATATCGTGATTGGATCATCCCGAGTGACTGTTGATCTTAGTGATATTTTTTTATCGTGTTGACAATACTTTCAAAATTTTGTAATGGCTTAGATGATTTCTATATTGACATTTAGAGGGCCAAGTCAGTAGCTGTCATTTTCTCAACAAGTTTGTTAGGCGCGCTCTTGTCAAAATTGACAACTGTGAATTGACAATTGTTTTGCTACCAACACAGAAATTTGCATCAATCAGTAATACAATCATCCGGTATTTTGTAAATGGAGTAGGTAACTGTCAACCAAGTCTAAGTAAATATCAAACTACTGACATAAAATATTATACTATCGAATCAGTGTGTCCAACATGAAGAAAAAGTATCTAACGCGTACTTGAATTTTGAATGATCGTGAATAAATAATATTCGACAAATGACGGAGGAAACTGTCAAACCACCTTGAATTAAACGTCAAGCTATTGACAGGTGACTGCATCACTGTACTTGGTTCGACCAACATGAAGAAAAACAATGAATGACTACTTTACTTTGAAAATATCGTGATTGGATAATCTCGAGTGACTGTTGATGTTAGTGATATTTTTTATCATGTTGGCAATACTTTTAAAATTTTGTAATGGATTAGATGATTTCTAAATTGACATTTATGGCTCCAAGTCAGTAGCTGTCATTTTCTCAACAAGTTGTTACGTGCGTTCTTGTCAGAAATGACAACCGTGAATTGACATACTACTATTGCTACCAACACAAAAATTTACCTCAATCAGTAATACAATCATCCGGTATTTTGTAAATGGAGTAGGTAACTGTCAACCAAGTCTAAGTAAATGTCAAACTACTGACATAAAATACTATACTATCGAATCAGTGTGTCCAACATGAAGAAAAAGTATCTAACGCGTACTTGAATTTTGAATGATCGTGAATAAATAATATTTAACAAATGACGTAAAAAACTGTCAATGAGCCTTGAAGTAAACGTCAAGCTATTGACAGATGACTGTATCACTGTACTTAGTTCGACCAACATGAAGAAAAACAATGAATGACTACTTTACTTTGAAAATATCGTGATTGGATAATCCCGAGTGACTGTTGATGTTAGTGATATTTTTAATCATGTTGGCAATACTTTTAAAAATTTTTAATTGCTTAGATCATTTCTAAATTGACATTTATGGCTCCAAGTCAGTAGCTGTCATTTTCTCAACAAATTTGTTAGGCGCGTTCTTGTCAAAATTGACAACTGTGAATTGACATACTAGTATTGCTACCAACACAGAAATTTGCCTCAATCAGTAATACAATCATCCGGTATTTTTTAAATGCAGTAGGTAACTGTCAAACCAAGTCATAAAAATGTCAAACTACTGACATAAAATACGATACAATCGAATCAGTGTTTCCAACTTGAAGAAAAAGTATCTAACGCGTACTTGAATTCTAAATGATCGTGGATAAATAATATTTAACAAATGACGGAGAAAACTGTCAATGAGCCTTGAAGTAAACGCCAAGCTATTGACAGATAACTGTACCACTGTACTTAGTTCGACCAACATGAAGAAAAATAATGAATGGCTACTTTACATTAAAAATATCGTGATTCGATAATCGCGAGTGGCTGTTGATGTTAGTGATATTTTTTATCATGTTGGTAATACTTTTAAAATTTTGTAATGTCTTAGATGATTTCGAAATTGACATTTATGGCTTCAAGTTAGTAGCTGTCATTTTCTCAACAAGTTATTAGGCGCGCTCTTGTCAAAATTGACAACTGTGAATTGACATACTAGTATTGCTACCAACATAAAAATTTGCCTCAATCAGTAATACAATCATCCGGTATTTTTTAAATGCAGTAGGTAACTGTCAAACCAAGTCATAAAAATGTCAAACCACTGACATAAAATACTATACTATCGAATCAGTGTGTCCAACATGAAGAAAAAGTATCTTAACGCGTACTTGAATTCTAAATGATCGTGGATAAATAATATTCGACAAATGACGGAGAAAACTGTCAAACCGCCTTGAAGTAAACGTCAAGCTATTGACAGATAACTGTATCACTGTACTTAGTTCGACCAACATGAAGAAAAACAATGAATGACTACTTTTATTTTGAAAATATCGTGATTGGAAAATCCCGAGTGACTGTTGATGTTAGTGATATTTTTTATCATGTTGGCAATACTTTTAAAATTTTTTAATTGCTTAGATGATTTCTAAATTGACATTTATGGCTCCCAGTCAGTAGCTGTCATTTTCTCAACAAGTTGTTAGGCGCGTTCTTGTCAAAATTGACAACTGTAAATTGACATACTAGTATTGCTACCAACACAAAAATTTGCCTCAATCAGTAATACAATCATCCGGTATTTTTTAAATGCAGTAGGTAACTGTCAAACCAAGTCATAAAAATGTCAAACTACTGACATAAAATACGATACAATCGAATCAGTGTTTCCAACTTGAAGAAAAAGTATCTAACGCGTACTTGAATTCTAAATGATCGTGGATAAATAATATTTAACAAATGACGGAGAAAACTGTCAATGAGCCTTGAAGTAAACGCCAAGCTATTGACAGATAACTGTACCACTGTACTTAGTTCGACCAACATGAAGAAAAATAATGAATGGCTACTTTACATTAAAAATATCGTGATTGGATAATCGCGAGTGGCTGTTGATGTTAGTGATATTTTTTATCATGTTGGTAATACTTTTAAAATTTTGTAATGTCTTAGATGATTTCGAAATTGACATTTATGGCTTCAAGTCAGTAGCTGTCATTTTCTTAACAAGTTTGTTAGACGCGCTCTAGTCAAAATTGACAACTGTGAATTGACATACTAGTATTGCTACCAACACAAAAATGTCCATCAATCAGTAATACAATCATCCGGTATTTTTTAAATGCAGTAGGTAACTGTCAAATCAAGTCATCATAAAAATGTCAAACTACTGACATAAAATACTATACTATCGAATCAGTGTGTCCAACATGAAGAAAAAGTATCTAACGCGTACTTGAATTCTGAATGATCGTGGATAAATAATATTTAACAAATTACGGAGAAAACTGTCAAACCGCCTTGAAGTAAACGCCAAGCCATTGACAGATAACTGTATCACTGTTCTGTGTTCGACCAACATGAAGAAAAACAATGAATGACTACTTTACTTTGAAAATATCGTGATTGGATAATCCCGAGTGACTGTTGATGTTAATGATATTTTTTATCATGTTGGCTATATTTTTAAAATTTTGTAATAGCATAGCTGATTTCTAAATTGACATTTATGGCTCCAAGTCAGTAGCTGTCATTTTCTCAACAAGTTGTTAGGTGCGTTCTTGTCAAAATTGACAACTGTGAATTGACATACTAGTATTGCTACCAACACAAAAATTTGCATCAATCAGTAATACAATCATCCGGTATTTTTTAAGTACAGTTGGTAACTGTCAAACCAAGTCTAAGTAAATGTCAAACTACTGACGTAAAATACTATACTATCGAATCAGTGTGTCCAACATGAAAAAGTATCTAACGCGTACTTGAATTCTGAATGATCGTGGATAAATAATATTTAACAAATTACGGAGAAAATTGTCAAACTGCGTTGAAGTAAACGTCAAGCGATTGACAGATAACTGTATCACTGTACTCAGTTCGACCAACATGAAGAAAAACAATGAATGACTACTTTACTTTGAAAATATCGTGATTGGATAATCCCGAGTGACTGTTGATGTTAGTGATATTTTTTATCATGTTGGCTATATTTTTAATATTTTGTAATGGCATAGATGATTTCTAAATTGACATTTATGGCTCCAAGTCAGTAGCTGTCATTTTCTCAACAAGTTTCTTAGGCGCGCTCTTGTCAAAATTGACAACTGTGAATTGACATACTAGTATGGCTACCAACACAAAAATTTGCGTCAATTAGTAATACAATCAAGCGGTATTTTTTAAATGCAGTAGGTAATTGTCAGACCAAGACTAAGTAAATGTCAGACTACTGACATAAAATACTATACTATCGAATCAGTGTGTCCAACATGAAGAAAAAGTATATATTTAATGCGTACTTGAATTCTGAATGATCGTGGATAAATAATATTTAACAAATGACGGAGAAAACTGTCAAACCGCCTTGAAGTAAACGTCAAGCTATTGACAGATAACTGTATCACTGTACTTAGTTAGACCAACATGAAGAAAAACAATGAATGACTACTTTACTTTGAAAATATCGTGATTGGATAATCCCGAGTGACTGTTGATGTTAGTGATATTTTTTTATCATGTTGGCAATACTTTTAAAATTTTGTAATGGCTTAGATGATTTCTAAATTGACATTTATGGCTCCAAGTCAGTAGCTGTCATTTTCTTAACAAGTTGTTAGGCGCGCTTTTGTCAAAATTGACAACTGTGAATTGACTTACAAGTATTGCTACCAACACAAAAATTTACATCAATCAGTAATACAATCATCGGGTATTTTTTAAATGCAGTAGATAACTGTCAAACCAAGTCTAAGTAAATGTCAAACCATTGACAATATACTATACTTTCGAATCAGTGTGTCCAACATGAAGAAAAAGTATCTAACGCGTACTTGAATTTTGAATGATCGTGAATAAATAATATTTAAAAAACGACGGAGAAAACTGTCAAACCGCCTTGAAGTAAACGTCAAACTATTGACAGATAACTGTATCACTGGATTTAGTTCGACCAACATGAAGAAAAACAATGAATGACTACTTTGCTTTGAAAATATCGTGATTGGATAATCCCGATGACTATTGATCTTAATGATATTTTTTTATCGTGTTGGTTATACTTTTAAACTTTTGTAATAGTATAGATGATTTCTAAATTGACATTTATGGCTCCAAGTCAGCAGCTGTCATTTTCTCAACAAGTTGTTAGACCCGTTCTTGTCAAAATTGACAACTGTGAATTGGGGTACTAGTATTGCTACCAACACAAAAATTTACCTCAATCAGTAATACAATCATCCGGTATTTTTTAAATGCAGTAGGTAACTGTCACACCAAGTCTAAGTAAATGTCAAACTACTGACATAAAATACTATTCTATCGAATCAGTGTGTCCAACATGAAGAAAAAGTATCTAACGCGTACTTGAATTCTAAATGATCGTGGATAAATAATATTTAACAAATGACGTAGAAAACGGTCAACCCGTCCTGAAGTAAATGTTAAACCATCAATACCAATACAACCAACTGTCAATATCAATTTATCGAACATGAAGAAAAATAATTCGAAAAAGTGGTGAATGATAATAGTGAGTCACTGTTAATGTTTGTATTTTTTTGTCAGGTTGGCAATATATTTGAAATTGTATGATGGCAACATATTTAAATTTGTATGATGGCATACCTGATTCCTAAATTGTCATTTGTGACACCAACTCTGAGCTGTCATTTTCGCAATAGTTTTCTTAGGCGGACTCATGTCAAAATTGACAACTGTGCACAAGCATTGCTGCCAATAATTCAGAATGGCCAACACAAAAATTTACTTCAAACCTAAACTGTCATCCGGTTTTTAACAAATGAAATAGAAAACTGTAAAATCAGGCCGAACTAATTGTCATATTACAGACAGACAAAAAAATTATACCATCGAATCAATTTGTCCAACGTGAATAAAAAATAGCAATGTCTATTTTACTTAGTGATATTTTTTGTCATTTTGGCAACATATTTTAAATTTTATGATTATTAAAGTGTCATTTATGACTCGAGATCAAGTTCGTTAAGCGCGCTCATGTCCAAATTGACAACTGTGAGCTGACGTACTAGCATTGCTACCAACAAAAAAAAAATGCTTCAATCAGTAATAATCACTCGGTATTTAGTAAATGAAATAGGTCATTGTCAAACCACGTTGAAGTAAATGTCAAATTACTGACAGATAAAAGACTGTACAGTTTCGGCCAGAAAATCGTGGGTAGTATTTTTTGTCATTTAAAAAAAACACGGTCTATGCTTTATTGTCATAATGATTGACACTTTTAAAAAATAAATTTTGACATACGTCATCATCCACATTCCAGTCTACGTCAAAATGACAAACATGGCAAATTTGAGGTTTAAGTACGTAAAGCCTGCTTTAGATCTTATGTCACTGGAATGACAGAACTGCCCAAGATATTGTGGCCGAAACTGTACCATCGAATCAGTATGTCCAACATAAAAAACTAATATCTAATGGCTATTATACTTCCAAAACGATCGTGAATGGATAATATTTAACAAATGACGTAGAAAAAAATGTCAAACTATTGACAGACAACGGTACCATCGAATCAGTTTATCCAACATGAAGATAAAATATTAAAGCCTACTTTACTTCGAAAGGGTCGTAAATAAATAATACTTCGGTGACTATTACTGTTGTATTTTCTTGTTGTCATGTTGGCAACATATTTAAAATTCTATGATGGCAGATCTGTTCCTAAATTAACATTTATGACACTAAGTCAATGTCAAACTACTGACAGATAGAAACTATATCATGAAATCAGTGTATCCAACATGAAGAAAAAATATCTAATGCCTACTTTACTTCCAAACGATTGTAATATGGATAATATTTAACAAGTGACGTAGAAAACTGTGAAACCACCTTGAAGTGAATGTCAAACTATTGACAGACAACTGTACCACCGAATCAGCCTACTTTACTTCGAAAGGGTCGTAAATAAATAATACTTCAGTGACTATTACTGTTGTATTTTCTTTTTGTCATGTTGGCAACATATTTAAAATTTTATGATGGCAGATCTGTTCCTAAATTAACATTTATGACACTAAGTCAATTTCAAACTACTGACAGATAGTAACTATATCATGGAATCAGTGTATCCAACATGAAGAAAAAATATCTATTGCCTACTTTACTTCCAAACGATTGTGAATGGATAACATTTAACAAGTGACGTAGACAACTTTCAAACCAGCTTGAAATGAATGTCAAACTATTGACAGACAACTGTACCTCCGAATCAGTTTGTCCAACATGAAGAGAAAATATGAATATTCTCAAAACCTTTTTTTTTATTTTTGTAAAATGCTAGATATGTTGCCAGGGACAAGGAAATTTCGGTCTAAATAACCTTGGACCACTTTTGTGAGCATTGTTCGCTCCACATTCATAAACATTTTGTTTTCTTCAATAAATCCTTATCGTGAAAAAACCGACTTGACGTCATTTTAAGATTATACGTTGAACTCAGTACAAAGTGTTTATAGCAAGACGTTGACACAAGTGGTCATACTCTACTCAAATAAACAAAAACTTACCAAATATGAGCGAGCGCTTGCGCATGCTCCGTACCCACACATCCACGTCTTGTAAGATTAATTATACAGAGTGTTTTTTATACCTATAGGCTCAACCCGAACCGGTCGAGGTGCCGAAACCCGAGCCGACAATCCCCGAACCGCCACCCGAAGTGGTACAAAAAGAAGAAGAGAAACAAGTGGAGACGAGCCAAGAGCAGATCGTCGATTCGGCGGTGATGCAAACGATGGGCGAAACGGGACAACAATTAATAGTGACGGGAGATCCCATAGCCGCCCAGAAGTTCTTAGAATCTTTAACCGAAGGAAACACCGATCTGGCTAACATTTTGGCTAGCGCCGAAGGCAGTAGTATTCTGATCCATGCGGACGGTCAGCAGATCCTCATCAATACGGATTCGGATAACCAGATGCTTTTGTCGGTTAATACCGACAATCTGAACATGGCGGAGAGCACAGAAGGCGGCGGCAATCCGATTTTTGCCACGCAACCCACGAAGAACCAGGATATCCTGGCGGCGGCTTTGGCAGACACGGACGTGTTCCAGCAGGAGCAGAACGGACAGAAAGTGTCCCAACTGAGTCCCAATAGTGCTCTTTATCCCATGAACGTCGGGAATGTTCTGGAGACGAGTCTGACGTTGAATTCGCCAATTATGACACCACTAGAAGTGCCCAGTACCAACAGTAAGAAAATTTCGGACGAGAGCGACATTTTGAACCAAGTACCGAAAAACGTGGACCTACCTATAACAATCACCGACCCTAATATATCTCAAACGGTCGCTCAGCAGCAGGTGGCGTCCATGATGGTGAACGAACTTCAAACTAATCTAGAACTGTCACTGCCAATCTCCGACGCAGCAATAACGGTAACCTCGTCAGAAATGAACAGTCCGAATTTCGTGTATTCGTTACCGAGTCTAGATGGCGCCGACATCAACCAGAAGCCGTTCAACAGCAGCATGCCTTTGCTCACCGAAGACACCGACGAAGTCTCGAACGAATCAAAAGAGACCAAGCCGGCGGCCAAACCCGACGAAGAAAAAGTAGAAGAGGACAAAAACGAGACGAAGATCGAGTTAAACGAGGCGAAGATTAGTCCGGACGGGTCGTTCTTGGACGAGAGCGAAGGCTTGTGCACGCTCGGGGGGGAGATGTGCAGCTCGTTGAGTGAGCCGCCCCCGGACATGTTCGACCTGTCGGCGGTGCTGTCGTCGCACCAGATGAAGGCGGCGGCGAGTCCGAAGGACGAGAATAAAGGGGGGTTGGTGATCATGGAGGAGAACGAGTTGAAGATCGACGATAAAGGGGGCGACGAGTCGGTGTCGAGCGAGTCGGTGAACCCGGACACGGCTTCGGTCACCGAGACGAGTTCCCCGAACACGATGAACGAGGACTCGTGCGAGATCCCGGTGCAGCCGGACATCGTCGCCACGCTGAAGGAGGACGGGCTGACGACGGGCTGCAAGAGGGGGTCGGAGGACGAAATCGAGGTCAACAATAAGAAATGTAAATTTGACTGAGGGTAGTTAAGAGGATGTATATAATGTGTATGATAGGGAGTGAGGAGACGGCCGGAGGTTTCTTTTGTCGAAATTCGTCAGTTATCATTTTGTAAATAAATTGTTATTTATGTACCAGGATGTACATAAAAGGCTTCTTTTTTATTCATATCTTTTAATATACAATAATGATTTATATTAAGATAGGTATATCATATATGCACATTAGATAAAGTTATTGCTTATTACATTGTAGATGTATGTTTAGATTAGCTTCCATGTGTCATTTGTGTGATGAATTTTTCGATGAAATTGGTACTGGATAGGATTTTCATCTTATTTTAGACGAATTTTAATTAAGCCTATAGAGATAATGTTCTTTTAAAAATTACGTTATGTATAATTTTATTGTAATAAAAAAATTAATATTGAAGGGTGACTAAAACACTAGACACTTATGTACAAACTTTATTGACTTAAGTCAAAACGATCAGTAACTAAATGTACTTAAAAATGACGTCACTCCTGTCAGCTACAGTCTGCAATTCCAACTTCACAGGACACTGTAACCAAAAACTCAACAACTCCTCTGTGTACCCTATCAAGAAATAAATTTTTCTTGCCCCTATGCTCCTCCTAATGATGCCGGCAACCCTAATAATATTGTGTTGGCGCTTGATTATAATTTCGCTAACAAACAACGCATGCCAAGTCCCGGTTACGAATTTCCGGATGAACATGTCTTCAATGGCGGTCTCTGACGATCGAAGACCTCCTTCTAAATTAGCTACAATTGACAATGTACTCAAGCGCGGTTTCGCTTATCGTAACTTACAAGTATTCCAGGAGTTCCACGTTTTCCTGTGGGCTATTTGGTGCGGGGGGTTCGCCATTTCGTAGGTTAGGGGAAAATCGCGTTTTGCGGTTATCCGGTACCTTCCAGATTGCGATTTTTGACATGCTGACGACGTGTGTAGCAACCGGGAGATGCTGAATTGTGGTTTTAGGGAGAGCAGAGATATCTACAAGAAAAATACGAAAGTTGGGTTATGTTCAAGTCGCAACAAATACACGGTGTTTGGCATACTCACGTTCCTGATTTGAACGAGAGACATCACTTTGGCTCTTTCGGGCTGATTACATTAAAACTATAGACAATAGTTTGGTTTAAAATATTAAAATTTAAAATTATAACCTCAAAATTTTGTTTGGTGCGAAGATATTGGAACGGAGTGTGACGTAGCGAAAAAACCAATAGAAATTTGGTGTTCTATTGTTGGTTGCATAACCACCTACATGTTTTAATTTAAACAGATATTCGATTTAGATTTTTCTTTACTTTGATTTAAATTTAAACAGCCTGTATTTTATTCCAGTGTTCTATTTTGTTTAGTACGGAAAAAGTTTGTTTATCTTTGGTTGGTAGTAATTTTGACATACAGAGCCTACTAGGTCCATCGGTTTTAGCAAAAGTGTTTTTGTGCAAAGTTTTATCGTGTTTTCAGTTGGATTTTTCATCGAAAAACGGTGTTCAGGTAGGATTTTAGTTAAATTTACCATCTTTTATATAATTCGAAGCTTTTTGCCACATTTTTTGCGAACGAAATTTCTGGTACTTGAAAACGGATTTAAGAAGACTAATGGATTAAATCAAAGCCATTTAATTATGTTTAAAATGTAGATGAGGGTCAAAATTGACACAAATTTTCGATAAACTGTATTTCATTCTAGTGCTCCATTTTAATTACTACAGAGAAAATTTTATTTATTTTTGGTTGGTAGCAACTTTGACACACAGAGCCTACTAGGTCCTCCATCAGTTTTTGCAAAATCGTTTCTGTGCGATGTTTTATTGTGTTTTCAGTTGGATTTTTTCGTAGAACATCAGAGTTCAGGTAGGATTTTAGTCAAATTTACCATCTTTTATATGACTCAAGCTTTTTGCCAAAATTTTTACGGGCAAAATGTCGAGGTCGCGATTTTCGTTTGAACAATGAAATATCTGACGCTGAAAACGCAATTGTAAAGATTTAACCATTAAGTGAGAGCCGTTTTCAAGTGCTCAGTTTTTTCTTACAAGAATATAATACCAGAGAACATGAGAAGCGTCATAGTTTAAATTAAATGATGATTGAGGACTCCTGGACTTATGTTGGCAACAGTGTTTGTTTCTAACTTACCAGAATATCACAAGTTGATTTTCACATTAATTCGGCTCACACGAATTACAGTTCGTCGTCGGAGAACTTGTTTTATCTACAGACCAGAGCGCACTCAGGCGAATGTCGACTCTAAGCGTTCGGAAACGATTTGATTTATAAGCCATGATCCCGTGATCTGATACACATTCTAACCGGTTTCGACCATAATTTCTTGCTGTTTCAACTTTCGAATTCTCAGTTTTTCGAAAGTTTAGTTTAGGGACTTTTCAGTTTACTCCTATTTATTATTCAACTTTTGGATTTTACAATTTCACAATTTTTCAATTTCTCAGTTTTCAGTTTTTCTCTTCAATTTTATGATTTTTAAATATTTCGATTTTTCAGTTGACTGATCTTTCAGGTTTTTTGGTTTTTCAAGATTTTTATTTTTTCAGGTTTCGATTTTTCAACTTCCCTTTTCTGATTTTTCGATTTCTCAATTTTTGGACATTTCAGTCTTGGGATTTTTCAGTTTACTTACTATTCAATTTTTCGATTTTTTTAAGGTTTCGATATTTCGATTTCACTTTTTTGATTTTTCGATTCTTTAGATTCTGAGTTTTTGGGTATTTCAGTTTTTCGATTCGTCAGTTTTTATTTCATTTTTCAGGTCTTCGACTTTTCCTTTTTTGACTTTTTTTCGATGCGTCAGCTTTTTACTTTTTCGATTTTTAAATTTTAGATTTCTCATTTTTTTTTTTAATTTCTCAATATTTAAAATTTTAGATTTTCAATTTTTCAAATGTTTCGATTTCTTAATCTTCCGATTTTTCGACTTCCCGGTTTAAGATTTTCTGTTTTTCAATTGTCGTTTTTTCAATTTTTCGATTTTTAAATTTTGGATTTTGCAGTTTTTTGATATTTTAATTTTTGACAATTTTTCAATTTCTAGATTTTTTGATTTTCCGATGATTCCATTTTTCGATTCCTCAATTTTTCAACTCCTTCCCTTTTTCAATTCTTCAATTTTTCTATTTTTGAATTTTTGACACTTCTATATTTCGATTTCTCGATCAATCGATTTTTTGATTTCTCGATTTCTGTTTTTCAGTTTTTGCAATTTTTCGATTTTCAGGTTTCTATTTTTTAATTTTTCAAATTTTCGGTTTTCCATTTTTCGGCAGTTCGATTACTGGGTTTTCTAATTTTTCGATATTTCAGTTTTCCGATTTTTCGATATTTCGAATCTTCAATTTTTCAACTTTTCGATTTTTTACTTTTTCAATTTTTTAAATTTTAGATTTTTAGATTCCTCAGATTTTCAGTTTTTCAATTTTTTTATTTTTCAGTTTTTGGGGTTCTTAAAATTTTAATTTTTAGATTTCTCAATTAATTGATTTTTCGATTTTTTGACCTCTTAATTTCTCGATTTTTCAGTTTTTCAATTCTACAATTTTCCGTTTTTTCTGTTTTTTAAATTTTCGATTTTTCAATATGCGAATTTCTCAATTTTTCAATTTTTGGCGTTTCTAAAGTTTTAATTTTAAAATTTCTCGATTAATTAATTTTTTCTATTTTTCCACTTTTTGATTTCTCGATTTTTCAGTTTTTCAATTTTTAAATTTTGTAAATTTTCGATTTGACGATTTTTCAACTTTTTTGGATTTTTCGATTTCTCAAGGTTTCGATTCTTTAGGTTCTCAGTTTTTGGATATTCCAGTTTTGGGATTTTTCAATGTATCGACTTTTTACTTTCTCGATTTTTAAATTTTAGATTTCTCAATTTTTTGGTATTTTAATTTTTCAATATTTAAAATTTTAGATTTTTCGATTTCTCGATTTTTCATTTCAGCTCTTCCATATTTCAATTTTTCAAATGTTTCGATTTTTCGACTTCCCGGTTTTAGATTTTCTGTTTTCCAATTGTCGTTTTTCAATTTTTCGATTTTTAAATTTTAGATTTCTCAGTTTTTTGATATTTTAATTTTTCAATATTTAAAATTTTAGATTTTTCGATTTCTCGATTTTTTATTTCAGTTCCTCGATATTTCCGTTTTCCATGTTTTCGAATTTCTCAAATGTTTTGATTTGTTAATCTATCGATTTTTCGACTTCCCGGTTTTAGATTTTCTGTTTTTCAATTGCCGTTTTTTCAAATTTTCGACTTTTCAATTTTTCAAATTTGGCATTTATATACTGTCAATTTTTCGATTTTACAATTAATCGATGTTCTGATTTTTGCCATTTCTTGACTTTTCGAGGGTTTCCTGTTCAATTCTTTAATTTTTCGATTTTTCATTTTTTAGTTTTTTTAAGGTTTCGATTTTTCGACTTCACTTTTTCGAGGGCTCAATTTTTCAACTTTTTAGGTTCTGTTTTTGGATATTTTAGACTGTTTGAAGTGTTTGGAGTGCGTGTAATCACATCTTTAGAATTCTTTGAATCCTTGGAATCCGGAGAATCTTCAAAATCCTTGAAACCGTTGAATCCTTCGTATACTTAGAATCCTTTGAATGCACTGAATCTTTAGAATCCTTACATTATTTAGAATTTTTGGGATCCTAGCAATATTTGGAATTCCCGCAATTCATTGAATCGTTGAAATTCTTGGAATCCTTGAAATCCGTGTATTTCTTGGAATTTTATCCTTGGAGTTCTTCGAATGCGTCAAATCCTTAAAATCCTCAGAATTTTCATAATATTTACAATACTTTGACTGCTTTCAATTCAATGAATCTTTTGAATCGTCACAATATTTAGAATGTTTAAGAATCTGTAGATTCTCTAGAACCTTTCGAATCTTTGGAATCCTTGGAACCTTCGGAAGCGAATACTTGGAATTTTCGCAATCCTTTGAATTCTTCTTCGAATTTTTAAAATCGTCAGAATCTTCATAACCCTTGGAATTTTTTGAATCCTTTGAATATTGTGAATCCTTATAATATTAAGAATCCATAGATTTTTAGAATTTTTGAAATTTTCGGAATCTTTGAAATCCTTAAAATCCCCACCGTTCCTGGAATCCTTTCTAGCCTTCGAATTCGTAGAATAATAAGAATCTTAATCATCTGTGGAATTTTGAATTCTTTGAAATGCTTTGAATCTTTTAAATTCTTTCAATCTTTAGCATCTTTAGATTCTTTAGAATTTCTGGAATCCTTGGAATCTTTGGAATATGTACTTGGAATTCTTGGTATCCTTCGAATCTTTAAAATCTTTGAAATGTAGTCCTTCAGACTCTTGAAATCTTTAGAATCCTTTGATAATACTTTGAAAACTTAAGAGTTCTTACAATTCTTAGTTTTTTTTTAAAATCTGTATAATCCTTGGAATCATCACAATACTCAAAATTTTCATAATTTTTAAATTCCTTTGAATCCTCTCACTCTTTTGACTGCTATGAATTCTTTGAATTCTTGGAATGTTTTGAATCCTTTTAATAAGTTGAATGATTTAGAACCTTAGAACCCTTAGAATTGAACTGTTTGAATCCTTTGATTCGTTACAATATTTGAAATCTTTGGAATCCTTCGAGTCCTTGGAATCCTTTTAATCCTTTGGATGCTTTGAATCTTGATTTTTTTAAATTCTTAGAATCTTTAGAAACTTTTCAAATCTGTAGAATCCTTGGAATCCATGGCATTCTTTAGAATCCTTTGAATATTTGGAATCCTTTGAATTCTTTGATCCTTTTTAATCCTCTGGATTTTTTAAAATCTTTGAAATACTTCGTATCCTTCAAATCCTTGGAATTCTTGTAATCCTCAGAATTTAATCTTTCGAATGATTCTTTCGAATCCTTCCAATAACTTGAGTCGTTGAATCTTTGCAATCTTTGGAATCATTGGAATCCTTTGAATTCTTAGAATATTTAAAATTTTTGCAATCTTTGAAATCCTTGGAATACTTAAAATCCTCAGAATTTTCATAATCTTTAGAAACAAATCAGTCCTTTGAAACGTTTGAACTATTTGAATCTTTTGAATTCCTTGAAACTGCAAAATCCATAATCTCTGGCATCTACAGAATATCTAGAATCTCTAGAATCTTTATAATGTTCAAGATGTTTACAATCTTTATCATCTTTTTAGCATC